GAGCGTTGTGCCAGTAACCGAAAGGTCGCTGGTTCTAATCCCCGAGCCGACTAGGTGAAAAATCTGTCGATGTGCCCTTAAGCAAGGCACTTAACCCTAATTGCTCATGTAAGTCGCTCTGGATAAGAGCGTCTGCTAAATGACTAAAATGTAAATGTAAATGTATAGGACTTCTTAGGAGGAAGCGATAGTGTAGAAACCTATAGGTCAGTTCACCAATCAGCTTAAAGGAAAATTCCACCCCAAAACTATCTTTTGGTATTTGTTTCATTAGTCCATTGTTGATATAGTTCCAAAATGTTTTGCATGTCAGCAACCAAGTTTTCAAGATATATTCCTTTCAATATACAAATGCATCACACCGGCTGTATTTCTGTATTTTGAAAGTGATATATCTTGAAAACTGGATTGCTGACATGCAAAACATTTGGGACTATATCCACAATGGACTAATGAAACAAATACCAAAATATAGTTTTTGGGAGGAGTTTTTCTTTAAGGAGAGGAGACATCACATGGAAAGGAAGTGATTTAGAAGTGTTGGAACTCAGCCAATCCCTCCAGTTCACCAGGGAAGAGGCAGTTGGGATTAAGTCTGCCTTGGCTAAGAGCCCTTAAAGCACAATGATCGATCTAAACATGACGCCTCTCTTTTCCCTCCATCTCTCCTATTTCACAAGCTAGTTTTCCACCGGAAACCCTTTTGACTGGTAGCACGTCTCTCATGTAAAGGATTTTATAGTTACCACGAGAGCAGCTGAACTTTCTCTGACCTGTCAGTTGCTGTCAGTTGTCTACAAATGGGCTATGATGCCAGGATGAGGTCATGATGTCCATTACCAAGAACCAGATGGACCAAGTTCACATGCCTTTTATTTTTTTGAAAAAGCAAAGCAAAACCAACTTTGAAGATGGTGGGACTACTATTGTTCTGCTTTACCTAACCCACGACACCATCTTTGTGGTGGGTGTAGCCGATATAAACCTTATGAATCTCTTAATACTTCGAAATATTGTTTTTCTTCCTGGCAGAGCCTACAGACAGCTCTGTAGCGAAGAGCCTGTGTCCCATTCTCTCCCCTCTTACACTGCTTCACGCCCCCACATGTTTCTACTGCCAGCGCGCTTCGCTCCGCTCCCTTTTCATCAGATGCAGAGCCATTGGTGACCTCACCTCACTAAACCAATATGGATGGAGGAAACACCCTCATGTGTTACTAATAACCCCACACTGCTGGGGCTCCATGGGCTACATTACACCACAGTCCTGAGAGGGTGGAGAGACCAGATGGAAGAAGAGAGAGAGAGTTGCACAGAAGGTGAAAGAGAGCAAAAGACGAAGAATGGGAGAAACGAGGGAAAGCAACATGGGGAAAGGGTGTAAAGTAAAAACTCTACTTGTTGCGCACTTGGCATCTATAAAAGATTGCCTGAAAATACACAAAGACGAACCCTTAGAGAGAATATGGCTACACGTAGCATTGTCAAACTCCTGATGTAATCACTATACAGATTTATATAATCGCCAATGGCAACAATGCAATATTGTCCTTCCACATAGTCAAAGATGTTATGGATTTTTAAGACAATGGAGGATAGGTCAAATCGGAGCACAACACGCTGGACAATTTATATTGTTGCCCTGTGTAGCATTGGCATGACAAACATTCATCTGACACCAAGGACATTGTGGTGCGAGTAACAAATGAACAGACAACAACAAAAGACTGTTCAGCCATGTTAAATTCAAAGGAGGAAAAGTGTTACAGAAAAAGCCATCGACATGCAGGGTTACAAAATATATTCTTATATTTCATGATGACTATGCATTCTCCCTATCTAGCCCTGTTATTCTCAAGTCCACAATTATAATAGCTTTTTGCCACATAGGCTATGCTGTCTGCCATCAAACGGTTGGCAGAGATGAGAGACCAGAGGCAGTGAGCTGCTTTCTGAAACAGTCTCAATATAGCTGTAAAACAGATAGTTTGCGGTCCAAAAATGGAACGTCTGCTGGATGAGAAACAGAGAGATATGATGAGAAACAGAGAGATATGATGAGAAACAGAGACATATGATGAGAAACAGAGAGATATGATGAGAAACAGAGAGATATGATGAGAAACAGAGAGATATGATGAGAAACAGAGAGATATGATGAGAAACAGAGAGATATGATGAGAAACAGAGAGATATGATGAGAAACAGAGACATATGATGAGAAACAGAGACATATGATGAGAAACGAGGAAATGGACAGTGATTGATGAGAAACAGAGAGTACTGATGAGAACAGAGGATATGATAGAAACAGAGAGATATATGAGACAAGATATGATGGAAACAGAGAGCTATGATGAACCAGGGATATGATGAGAAACAGAGAGATAGAAGAAACAGAGAGATATGATGAGAAACAGAGATAGAGAAAAGGATGAACGAGAGAGAATATGATGATTAGAAGAGAGAGAGACAGAGATATGATGAGAAACAGAGAGATATGATGAGAAACAGAGAGATAGTGATGAAGAACAGAGAGATATGATGAGAACGAGAGATAATGCGAGAGACATATGATGAGAAACAGAGACATATGATGAGAAACAGAGACATATGATGAGAAACAGAGAGATATGATGAGAAACAGAGACATATGATGAGAAACAGAGACATATGATAAGAGGGAGAATGGCAGTGCATTGCGGTTGGCAGGCTGACTGTGGCGCCACAGGGTCTACTGCTTCGCTGCTAGCCCTATCCTGGACAAGCCCTCAATATCCCAGGGCAAGGAGGGGGAAAAGGTGGGAGAAAGGCGAGCGCAATGAATTATGAGAAAATGAAAAAAAGGAAAGGGGAAAAAATTGTGATAGAGCAAGATAAGAACGAGAGAATGTTAGAGAAGGAGAAATCATTCATCGTTGACAGTAAACGTTTGTGAATCACAGGAAGACAAGACTTTCCTTCATTGTCATTAGTGAACCTCCAAGGGGGATTTGTCACTGTTTTTATACATTCATTAAAAAGGTCCAATGCAGCATTTTTTTTATTTTTTTACCTCAATATCAAATCATTTCTGGGTAACAATTAAATACCTTACTGTGATTGTTTTAAATTAAAATGGTCAAAAAGAAACAAAAATAGCTTATGTTATCGGCAGAGGTTTGGAAATCTTTCTTATTGGTCTATTAACTAATTTACCCCATGGTGATGTCACCATGGAAGGCCAAAACTCCCTCCCACCAAAACAAGCTGACATTTCAGGAGGTCTTTTCAAACAGCTCTTACACTAAAGGGGCATTATCATAATTTTCACAATGTCACAGTATTAATCCAACCTCAGTGTGGAAACATATATAAAACACAGGAAAATCACGTTTTTGACTGCACTGGGCCTTTAAGATCAAGACATGATTATAGTCACAATTATCGACCAAGCCAAGTTGTTTGAACGATGAGTGTTCCCATTTCATTCAGAGTGTGTTAAAATACTCAGTATAGTATCTCTTACTACCTCACCTTAGAACAATAAAGCTACGTTGAACCAGAGCTAGTTACAGACTGTCAATTTGTACCAATTCCTGTCTAGGCGATTTGTCAGCAGGAAGATACCATCTTGCTACTGAAATAGTGTTAGAATGTAGACTGATACCATCTTGCCACTGAAAGGGATGGCGATACTTGGAATTTCTAGGGAATGCTAATAAAACTGAAATGCAAACAGTACAAAGGTAACTGTTGTGCACTGATTCATTCTAGCAATATTGATGAAAACAAAGCCAGCCATTCTCTGTGTACTTAAAGTATCACATTATTATGCAGGTCCTACTGTTTGAAAAGGTAAGTACATTTCAAGGGTGTCTTAGCTTTGTGGTAAAGTGTTAGCATTTAAAAAAAATAAAGAATCTATAACACATTCAATCATAGTTATTTTACATAATCAACTCTGTTATTTGTCAACTCTTATCTGTCAATTCCATTATGTGATTATAGAAACGTTATCGTCATAGCGTTTCAATGTCATTAATTTATCCATGATAAATATTCAGCTACTATTATCAATCATTTGTTCTCTGTAATAATCTTACAGTATGCAGAGCAAATTGTGTTATGCTTCATTTACAAGATGTCATTCATGTTCAATGTATTCTGGTTTCTAGGGCGTTAGCCACTTTTAATGCGACCAGAGATAAGTCAAAATATATTATTAAAAACGAATGCCCAATTTAATCGGATTGATTTGTTTGCTTAGTAATGCCCTCACATCAAAAGCGACCTTATCATCATCATCAACGTATCAATCTACCCGTAAGGCTAGATTTAAGACAATCAAGGGTTAATTTTGTGTTTTGTTCCTGCCTGTTGCTTGACCAGAATTTGGGCTAATCTATAAGCATACACTATGAGTTAGGTTAGTGAGTTGGACGGCAGGTAGCCTAGCGGTTAAGAGCGCTGGGACAGTAACCGGAAGGTCGCTGGTTCGAATCCCCACGCCAACTAGGTGAAAAATCTGTCGATGTGCCCTTGAGCAAGGCACTTAACCCTAACCACAGTTAGTCTTTACAAGGTAGTACTATATTTCGTCTTTATGATAAAAAATAAACATGTTCACTTAGATAGTAAAAAAAAGTAATTCCCATCCCACTAAAAAGAAACACCCTGAAAAAAAACCTTGGAGTGTTGGCAGACTTTATAATGATGCTTCTGTTGTATGGGTTACTGTGGTTTCTCTGCTTCATATATGCAGATTTGTAAATATTTTTCAAGTGTTCAGTGCAAAAAGAAATTGCTTGAGGCCACACACCCTCCCAGTGGAAAAACTGTCAGGCCGTGAGAGTGAGACGACAAGCCTAAGTACTGAGTTTGGTTTCTCCGACCAACCGTGCACCAACCCGGCGCCAGGAGTCTTCCTCTCCCTCCTTCGCTGTGCCCATGGTTACCAGTTTTAATGGTGTATCCTCCCCTCCCCAACCAGGAGAGGGAGAGAAGGGAGGTAGGGGTGGCTACGAGCCGTCCTGAAGCTCCTTGGCCTTGGCCAGGATGGTGTGGACATCTGAGATGGGGTAGTCCTGAAGAAGAACAGAGACAATCAGTTAAATGTCAAGTAAAACCTCCTTAGTTGCCCAAAACATGACCTACATTGGCCCCACTGTATTTGAATAGATCCTTTCAAATGGTCTTACCTGCAGCAGTCTCATGTTGACCGTGAAGTCTCCCGCCAGCAACTGATCTCGAATCAGTCTGAAACCACACAGGACAGGCATGCAAATCAGAACAGAAATAACAAACATAACGCATAACATATGGTAAAATGCAGACAAGCGTCTTACTAGTATCCAATTCCATCCAAATCCTATCCAATTCCATCCAAATTCAAGTAAATTCAGGAATTTCATTGCATTCTTAGAAAATCCAAACTCCATGTCCATTTCAACAGACTTGGGGAATTGGAGCTGGGGTCAATCTGGGGTTAGGGGCGTTCGTGGCTAGGCAGGACAGAAGGGAACTCACACGAGCATGGCGCAGCAGACCAGGATGAGGAAGTCGAAGCGGTCCTGGTCGGAGAAGAGCGTGTCCCAGATGCGGATGACGTCAGGTAGGAGGAACTCCTGGGACAGCAGCAGGGTCAGCCAGCGGAAGGTGAAGTACTGAGGCTTGATGTTCTGCTCCTGCTGTTAAAGAGAATGGAGGGAGGGAGAGGTTGAAAGATTGAACTAGCCTCCATCATAACTACAAACAACATAACATTATCCCACTAAATGAATTAATCTAACCAAAACCAACACTTTGTTTGGAGGTGCATGGGGAAAATTAATGGGTAAACAGATCAAATGTGTAACTCCCCCCCTTACGAAACATATCCCCTCCCCTATACCACTCCTCCCCATATCCCTATGAACTTGTATCCCTTCAGAGCCGTGAAGACGAGTCAACAAGGGCCCAGGGAAAGGGCCTAGGGATGGCTTTGGGACAGGGCCCAGGAGTCCTTTGCTCACCAGTTTAATGTAGAGCTCCATGTCCTTCTCCTTGAGCATGGAGTAGACACTCTCCATCTTGTAGGTGATGCCGCACTGTGAGTCATCCAGACTCTTGATGAACATGTCCCGGTTCTCCGACATCAGGTTGGTGAAACAGAAGAAGGTGTCTGCCTCGGCGTGCTCTGGTTGGTTGGACGGTCAATTAGTAAATCAGTCAGTCAAAATATCAGTCAATCAATCAGTCAATCGTGCCGTACCAAGTGTCAATTGTGTTTGTCTGTCTGTCTATATATGACAGACAATAAAATACTTCTAAATGGAGGTCAAGCAATAACAATCTGTGAAAATTAGATGAGATAGGGAAGAAGGGTGGTTTGCCATTCCTCATTTGTCCTCTAGGTGGCAGTGCTGAATCAGTTAGCTTGATCCATTTCATCACAGAACATCCATTCCTTCACAGAACACCCATTCCATCACAGAACATTAGCACTCTTATGCAGAGACTAGTGAAATGGGACTATCAGAGGGAAGTAGCAGCTGGTAGAGCTGATATTTGCATTAATACAACAGAATAGTACTTTACTAGTCTATCTACCGACCCCCCCCCCCGCACCCACCTTTCCACTTGTCGTTGGGGTCGGTAGCGAAGGTGTAGTAGAGGGGTCCCACCACCTCGTTCATGCCCTGCACGTAGGCAATGCCCGGGTTGAGCTTAGCGTAGATGAACAGGATGCGCTCCACCACCTCCCAGTGGGCCTCGCAGCCATTGGGCAGCACCTCGTACTCGTTGGAAGGGTACAGGTTGAGAGCCTTGCCCGGGGAGCTCACCTGAAGAGCGGGAAGGTAAAGAGGGGAAAGAGTGGAGAGGGGAGAAGGGGTAGGAGAGAGTGAGGGGGGGGGGGTAGGCCCAGTCAAAAAACAACCACTACCCCCCTAGGCAGGCAATTGTGCAATTGTAGAAGTTCCTGAGGGTCGTAGGGGCCAAGCCGAATTTCTTCACTGTCAGTGTGATGGGACCATTTCAGGTCCTCAGTGATGTGCACGCCGAGGAATTTGAAGCTTTTGACCCTCTCAACTGGGGCGTGCTCTCTCTGCTGTCTATTGTAGTCCAGGATCAGCTCCTTAGTTTTGTTGACGTTGAGGGAGGTTATTTTCCACCTCTTCCCTGTAGGATGTCTCGTCGTTGCTGGTAATCAGGTCTACCCCGGTTGTGTCGTCAGCAAACTTGATGATTGAGTTGGAGACGTGCGTGGACACGCAGTCATGGGTGAACAGGGAGTACAGGAGGGCGCTGAGCATGCACCCCTGTGGGGCCCACGTCTTGAGGATCAGCGTAGTGGAGGTGTTGTTGCCTACCTTCACCACCTGGGGTCGGCCCGTCAGGAAGTCCAGGACCCAGTTGCACAGGGAGGGGTTCAGACCCAGGGCCCTGAGTTTAGTGATGAGCTTGGAGGGCACTATGGTGTTGAAGGCTGAGCTGTAGTTGATGAACAGCATTCTTACACAGGTATTCCCCTTGTTCAGGTGGGATAGGGCAGTGTGCAGTGCAATTGCGTTGTCCGTGGATCTGCTGGGGTGGTATGCAAATTGTAGTGGGTCTAGGGGGTGACGTAAGATGGAGGAGATATGGTTGTTAACTAGCCTGTCAAAGCACTTCATGATGACAGAAGTGAGTGCTACGGGGCGAGCGTCATTTAGTTCAGATACCTTCGCTTTCTTGGGTACAGGAAGGATGGTGGACATCTCGAAGCAAGGGGGACCATTTCTGTAGACCAATATGTCTGTTCTCACAAATATACAACAAACGCACACATTACATTTGACATTTTAGTCATTTAGCTGACGCTCTTATCCAGAGCAACTTCCCGGAACAATTAGGGTAAAGTGCCTTGCTCAAGGGCACGTCAACAGATTTTTCACCTAGTCGGCTCGGGGATTCGAACTAGTGACCTTTCGGTTACTGGCCCAACGCTCAACTGCTAGGCTACCTGCCAAATGACACAGACACACACATACTTTCTCTCTCTGACGGTCAGACTCACATTGGTGACCCCGCTGCGGTTGCGGTCCACAGTCTGGGCCTTGAGGGTGGTCTGTTCCACGCGGCGCCTGAGGGTCTCGTAGTCATTCTGGGGGTCCAGGATCAGCTGGCAGGGGTAGTCTGTGGGCCACTGGAAGAAGGCCATGTCTGGGTACAGACGCCTGCCATTACAGAAATACATTAGTTAATTAGCACTTAGTAGTTCATCCTTTGTTCCTTTGTGGAAAATCCACGAGAGAGCGCCACTGCTGCTGATCTTCTGCCGTTTTAGAGATGGTGTTCCATGATAGGCTACTGGAATCCATTAATAGACTATTCATTAATGTTCGCCCCTGTTCTGGAGGACGAGTTACTTATAATACAAGGAGATATTCACTTCAAAGTCAGCTAAAGAAGTGCCTAGCTACCTACCTGACATCTTTATCAATCTGCAGCAGCACCTCATTGTCTCTGAAGTAATTGTTCCACTTGCTCTCTGGGTTGGGGTTGAGAGGCTGAGAGAGTGAAAGAAAGTTAGAAAGAGGGAATGAAAATGAATGTATGGGAAAATTCGGTGAAAGTTCCTGTGTATTAGCCGAGACAACCCAGCGGTGTGTATCAGAGTAGGAAATTTGTCTATTTTGGGGGGTAACGAAGGAGGGAGAGGAGAGGAGGAACTCACATGGTCTTCCATGGTCACGTCCTCTCTGGAGAGGCCCAGGTTGGCCTTAGCGATGCCGGGCTGGATGATCATCTCCTTCAGGAACTGGGAATAACCCTCCCTGTGGGCACATAATTAAAAACAACATTTTTAGAACAGTATTGAACAGTATTATATTGTATCTCTACGCCTGTGGATTAAAGCAAGAGTCAGGGACCATCGGAGGTCAGCTACTCCTAATGGTATCATTTCAGGAGTTACATTTGACCGACAATTGGACTTGGTGAAATTGACTAGACTCAGCAATATGACATCATCATGGACAATTCTGAATTGACTAGGGGCCATTCAAAGCATTCCAGGCACGCTCAATCAAACAGTCAAAGTATTTGAAGGATTTCAATAATGTGAGGAGAGCCAATAGAAGCAGCAGAATCGCCACCACTGTCTCCCCTGTCCAGAGCCGACCCGATATAGCTGTCCTGAGCCGGGTGTGTTGTGTTCTAGTGTGATATTTGAATAGGCCAGGTTCCATTATGAGTCAGCTGTTTGTCTAGGAACACTTGGTAAAATCTAAGAAAAGATTCCCAAAGTAAACTCCAGCGGGACAGGGGGGATATACTTGACCAAGAATTGGTTAGTTACCAAGGTATCATTCTGTCACTGATTAAAAGGCTGACATGGAAGGATATACACAGTGGCTAAGTCTTGATCAGTTCATGTTTTCATGCTCTATATAAAAGGCCTCAAAGGCTCTGGATAAGAGCATCTGCTAAATGACGTAAATGTAAATGTAAAGGGCTGATCAAAAGTCAATACATCTATAGATGGTTTCATTTTCACTTTAACCATTCAAACTAGGGCTGGGCGATATATATATAATTTTTTTTGGTATTTTTCGTTTTTATGAGCGTTTATGTCCGCTTGTTCTCATGTTGTCTTTTTGGTCTCGTCTCGTTCGCTCCTTCTGTGCTGTGCACCTTCCATTCACACCAGAGAACAGTATATCATTTTTTACATTTACATTTTTAGTCATTTAGCAGACGCTCTTATCCAGAGCGACTTACAGTTAGTGAATATATATATATATTTTATTTTTTTATACTGGCCCCCCGTGGGAATCGAACTCACAACCCTGGCGTTGCAAACGCCATGCTCTATCAACTGAGCTACATCCCTGCCGGCCATTCCCTCCCCTACCCTGGACGACGCTGGGCCAATTGTGCGCCGCCCATGAGTCTCCCGGTCGCGACAGAGCCTGGATTCGAACCAGGATCTCTAGTGGCACAGTTAGCACTGCGATGCAGTGCCTTAGACCACTGCGCCACTCAGGAGATGCTCATGTCTCCGCCCTAACAATGAGAGTCATTGTTCCAAAGGCGGGAAGGCAACCGACAAGGTTCAAAATAAGGGCATTGGGCTTATTTTTGACAGATATTTGGGAGAGTGAAACCTCTCGCTTTGTCTCTTTCTCCCAAGCCCCTCCCCCTACCACTCACAACAACAAAGTTGCTGGTTTTATTTTTTTATTGGCAAAAACTTTTCGCTTTGTCATTATGAGGTATTGTGTGTAGATTAATGAGGATTTTAATTTATTTAATCCATTTTAGAATAAGGCTGTAACGTAACAAAATGTGGAAAAGGGGAAGGGGTCTGAATGCGTCTCCTGAGTGGCGCAGTGGTCTAAGGCACTGCATCGCAGTGCTAGCTGTGCCACTAGAGATCCTGGTTCGAATCCAGGCTCTGTCGTAGCCGGCCGCGACCGGGAGACCCATGGGGCGGCGCACAATTCGTCCAGGGTAGGGGAGGGAATGGCCGGCAGGGATGTAGCTCAGTTGGTAGAGCATGGCGTTTGCAACGCCAGGGTTGTGGATTTGTTTCCCACGGGGGGCCAGTATTTAAAAAAATTATGTATGCACTCACTAACTGTAAGTCGCTCTGGATAAGAGCGTCTGCTAAATGACTAAAATGTAAAATGTAAATGTAAATACTTTCCGAATGCACTATATATGGTGAATATTCCATAAGTTAGAAGGAAATATATTATATGAGTTTTAGGCCACATCGGCCAGCCCTAATTCATACCGGTCCTGCAAGTGCACACATTTCTTATTCTGAACATTTCAATTAATCTCCTCCTATTGATAAATAATTGATGTCCACCAGAACTGGTGGAGACGTTTTTACCTCTGCTTTTTGAGAAAGGAGTCCCATATCGTCTGGTCCAGAGGCAGGTAGTTGAGCAGGACCTGGAAACACGGAAGCAAGTCATCCGAAATAAGAATCCCAATCCCTCACACATAAGATTAGAAAAACAGGCTGAAACTAATACTAAAACAAAGGCTAATGCTACATACTGTAGATGTCTGTCTATTAAAATGGGTGGAGCAACTCACTTTCCAGCAAAGTGCACGGATGCCTCCTTCAAATGGGATACCTGAGAGAGAGATAGGTGGGTGGGGATGGAGGAGAGAAGGAGGAATGACAGAGAGAAAAAAATAAAGATGAATACAGGACAAGATAAAGTTAAATAAGGAGACAGAGTAACAAACTAAGTAATATAACACATGAAAAAATTACATTCTGGAGATGAAAGCAAGGTTTTTTCTTACCACTGAAGCAAAGTTCCCGGAGTGCCTTCAAGTCTAGCTTCTCTTCACTCAAGGCCACCTTGAATTCCTGGATCCTTCATTTGTACAAGAAATTAAAAAATGTTTGGGAAACCCTGTCCCAGAGGAATTCAAAATAGATTGGGGTGGATTGATTGTTGTGATTTAGCCCAAAAGCATCAAAGGCTATACAGTGGATCTTAGACTATATTACCAGGGGCAAACTACCCACCCTCCAAGACACCTACAGCACCCGATGTCACAGGAAAGCCAAAAAGATAATCAAGGACATCAACCACTCGAGCCACTGCCTATTCACCCCGCTATCATCCAGAAGGCGAGGTCAGTACAGGTGCATCAAAGCTGGGACCGAGAGAATGAAAAACAGCTTCTATCTCAAGGCCATCAGACTGTTAAATAGCCATCACTAGCTGCTGCTGCCTATTGAAATCACTGGCCACTTTAAGAAATGGAACACTAATAATGTTTACATATCTTGCACTACTCATCTCATATGTATATACTCTATTCTATAATATTCTACTGTATCTTAGTCCATGCCGCTCTGTCATTACTAGCCAATATATGTATATATTCTTAAATTCCATTCCTTACTAGATTTGTGTGTATTGGGTATATGTTGTGAAATTGTTAGATATTACTTGTTAGATATTACTGCACTGTCGGAACTACAAGCACAAGCATTTCGCTACACCCGCTATAACATCTGCTAAACACGTGTATGTGACAAATAACATTTTATACTGCCGATCTAAGGCTAACGCTATAGAAAGAGGTGCGTGTAGAACTGACAGGATTGGCTATTCAGCTATTCAACATCAGAGAGTTGTGTCCATTCTACATAGCCTAGCTATATCTGTGATACTCTGATTTTGTTCTAACCTACTGAACAGAACTAAAGCAAAAGCTATGATTTCAATCTAGTATGCCTTTCTCCTGTAATAGAAATGTATCTCTTTCCTCGACGGCTACATCCTGTTTGTCATGGCTCCCTCTAAAACTGCAGACGATCAGCAGTTACTTGGCTCAGAGCTATTCAAAAGGGAAAACTGTTCATTTGTTTATTATCAAGCAACAGCCCTCGCAAGATACCAGTCCTGACCTCAGATCATTAACTTCAACACCAGGCAAAAGTGCTTTGCTGTCACAATTAAACCCTACATTTGATTTCCCTTCATAACGTTGGATCCATTATTTTCCTCGAACAGTTAAGTCCAGAAGCAAGAGTGAATAGTAGCCTAAAAGCAAGGGAAGCTTTATAATGAGTAGCCTAAGCATGACAACAACATTTCGGCCATCACAGAAAATAGGTTACCATAGTAGGCATATGAACAGTTTTATTTAGCCACAAATAGCAGGACCCTAAATAGATTAAAATCAGGTAAATGAGTGTGTCCTGCTTTGAACTGCCCCTGTCTTACAAGGATTGAAAGGGATGTCCTGTCAGTATGTGCATTGTATAGGTCAAATGTAATGCAATATACCACCATTGCATCTTGAGTAGGCTAGTCTGTATTTCTCCTTGTCTTGTGGATTATCAATAGCTGACATTAAGTCAAATACAACACACAGGTTTGACTGTCTCTAGTCTAAAGTGGTCTCAGTTAGTTGTGATAATTTCATCAGTGGAGAATGTGGGTATGTTAGCAACCTAAGTTGCATAATTACATTTGAGGAATTAGGTAGCACAAGTTCTGCATTCTCTTAGCCCAGTCCTTCCTCAACAGTTTAACGTTAGCCACTACCTAGTTAATTGAAAGCCTCGAATTAAATGGCCATTTAGGGTTCCTTCAGTTTAAATGTATTGAGTTTTAATGCTAACTATTAATAGTTACAGTCACTGAAATAGACAAACATGATAGTTGTGTCGGTGGACAGCTTGAGTGCCTATGCTTGAGCAAAATGTTTCCTATCCACATAGATAGCTAGCTAGATAGGAAACAATTATTTAATTCAAGCAGAGAATAGGGGGGGGACATTGTCTGCAGTGTAGTACAGTACAGAGAAGCGAGCATTTTCATCGATGTTGCTACCAGATGTCTTCCCATTTCATCGAGACAACGGGCTATCTAGTTAGCTATCTAGTTAGCTAAAGTGAGCCTAGCCTTCGGAGTCTACCATATAATACACGAACAATTAGCTACACAGAACGCACCACAAGAGATTGCCAAAAAAGACAAACGTACATGACATTTCGTCGAATTTGTTATTATGGCCCACTGTCCATTCATAAATCAAATCTACACCTCACCTGCTTCGGTACGAGCTCGACATGTTGGAAGACTCCAAAAGCTAGACCTGTGTACCACAAGAAAAATAGTCCGATGGGGAAACATACACGATTTGGTAAAGACTACTCAAATGAGGATGTGCTGTAACATGGCCTATTCCTATGCACCAATTACATATGTAAAAAAATTACTCGAAGTTTCTTTTCTTGAAGTCAAACTTATCATAGTTGGACTGAAATACTATTTCTGATTGTACTCACACTGTAAACTTCACGAGTATATCACCTTTCCAGTGTGGGATGATCTCTGCTGTTTTTTTTGTTATGCCCCGTCACCAAATGTATGCATAATCATTTTCATGTTATTCTGCTACTTTGCATTATTTAATGTAAATAATAATTAGAATAGCTTATTGCACTAGCTAAGTGTATGCACTTATTTTGTGTTCAATGCCAGACCTGGTTAAACGTTAATTCTAACTCATCAGTTAGATAGATACCCTCCCTATTCCAAATGTTGAGAGGATTTAACTAACAATGACCATTAAACAACATTTCTTAAAATGCAATGCGATTGTTTTTTCTCATTACCTTCCCAATTAATTGTAACACATGTGAACCGGAAAGGGAGGTTGTTTTGTTGGCAGGGGCCAACACGAAAAACAGAAGAGAACATAAATGATACAAAAAATATAAATTTATTCAATCAACCAATAAACTACCCGTGTGCAAAGCTGAGGTATGATAGTGTCCGATAAACCGTGCAAATGAGCAGTGTTGACAAATCTTTTATATAGCTATCTAGATCACCAAACATTTATTCGCCAGCAGGCTAGCTACAGTAACTACGTGCTAGCTAACTATCTAACGTTAGCTGAGCTAGCTAGCAAGCAATGGATTTGATGTAGCTACAGTAGTTAGTTAGCAAAATAGCTATTTGTCATGGTTGCAGGTTACACTATACATTTATAATAAATACAGTTTCCCCTGTAAATATACATTACTACTTTACACTTTTGATCTAGCTATCGTTAGTTAACCACCCATAGCGCACTGTACGCGCATCTGTAATTCGTAATAACTCCGCTAGCTACCTAACATATCTTGCTAGCTAATTTGCTATCTGAACAACAACAGTTCGTTAGCGGCTAGCCACTAGCTAGTTGACAATCATTTGTACTTTATCAATTTGTCGAGGTGTTTAACGTTAGTAGCTAGTTAGCTAACTAATGCAATTAAATCAAATAACTAACTAATGCTTCAGAAGCCGCTAAGCTAGCTACCTAAATATTTAAGCTTGGTTCCGCAAACATTCTTTGCTTATTGATTGACATCAAATTCATGTCATGGAGGTGAAGCCTGTCATTACATGTTGCCATTTTGATTTATAGTGCTAAATCCAGTTAGTTTGGCCACGTAGCTGACAAACTGCTATGAATTATATATTATACTATTGACATTTCCCTAAACATTAAGTATAATTGTAGATATGTGTATCAAAGCAATGTCAAATAGCCTAATGACTAATGATAACTTTATTTGTCTCCAGCAGCTTCTTGTAGGCCTAACCCCTAAATTAGGGAGGTCGAACACTCTGCCTCTTCTGCGACCACCTCGTGTATCCCGATGCCTACCCTTTGAGAGCTTCCCAGCACCCACCTCCCGAGGCCACCTGATTTGCCCTGTTGTCAAACATAGAGGGGAAGGGAGAAGCAGCATCCGACATGGCAGCTAAAGCAGGGGACAACCCAGACAGCCTCATGGCTCTGTCCACGGCCTTCTGCCTAAGGAACCTGAGGAGGACCATGTGCTACCTGGGAGAAGGGAACAAGCTCTGCCTGCGCTCAGATGTCTTCCTGCCCAGCGAGATCTGTGACAAGCTGGTCAACACGTACGTATAATTGGGATTTGAGACAGGTCCTAATCCTAACGGTCAATTAAGCATGTGGCTTGTAAATAAGTAAGCAGGGTAGGTTAAACACTATTTTTCGCAGAATGGTTTGCTTGTTGGTTTGCCTCATGTTTTACAATATGTTGCTATGGTTTTATGAGGTGTAAACTATGATTTTCGTGATCAATCACTTTATTAGCAGCGGCTTGTGAGCATTGATTTGGATCTGGCAAAAAATCACATTGAAATGAAAATGCCAACTATAGTTTATGATCTGACAAATGATCAATTTGACCTTATGTCTTGAATAATGATTACTCTGCTGTTTTATGTATCCATCTTCACAGATACATGGAGCTGGTACATTCGGACAGTAACTTTGAGCCGCAGGACGGCTTCTTCCAGCTGTTCTCGGACCCGCGCAGCACCAGGCTCACCAGGGTGCAGCTGAGGGAGGACCTTGTGCGGGACATGGACCTGGAGGCCATTGGGAAACAGGTGGGACGTAGTGGAGATGGACTAGTCTGATCCCAGATCTCTTTGTGCTGTATAGCCCCTAGAATTAGGAATTGGAATACTACAATGGACATGAACCTTCTGGAACTTTGAGGGTTTATGACATAGCCCCACTAGGAATTTAATACAATCTCTATGGAAAAGCCCCTATGGACCATATGAGTTGGCTAGACAGTGCAAACAGATCAGAGACCAAGCTATAGGTAGACTGAGTGGCCTAAAATGCCATACAGGAAAAACACAGGCAGAAAAGGCAGTTGAGGCACTCATGGGATTTCGAGTGATGGTGAATTTATTAATGTTTTCACCACCACAAGTCTCACGAGTTCCCCTGCTGCCTTCTTGCTTGCCTTTTTCCTGCAAGAAAAAGTGTTTCCTTCTGGAGGGCGTAAAGGCCAAACAACTTGGAGGGCGTTGGAATGGTTTCTCCAAGCATCTTAGGCCTAAGCTAACCTCTATAGGAATAAGCCATGATGATACCTCCTCTCTATTCAGGTCAATACCGCCTTTCAAATCAGGACCAAAACAACACCCAGATGCACTGACACAAAAAAGTAATTAAAGGAAAACTCCACCCAAAAACTATCTTTTGGTATTTGTTTCATTAGTCCATTGTTGACAAAGTCCCAAAATGTTTTACTTGTCAACAATCAAGTTTTCAAGGTATGTAACTTTCAAAATACAGAACTCATCCCCGTATGATCCCGCAGCATCAGATGATGCAAAAATGCATCATACGGGGATGATTTCTGTATGTTTGTTCCTCATACTAAAAAGTACATACAGTGAGCAAAATACTAATGCTAGTAATTCAACTCTCGTTGAATAATGAGAATTAATTTGCTCAAATGTACTATTTCATAACAAAATGTGGTGCAGAACAACTCACTGTATAATAATTGTCAGACACAGATCGAAAGCACAACTGTCCAGTGTTGACACATTTATACTGAACAAAAATATAAATGCAACAATTCAGTTCAAGTTCATATAAGGAAATCAGTCAATTGAAATAAATTCATTAGGCCCTAATTTATGGATTTCACATGACTGGGCAGGGGCGCAGCAATCAGAATATGTTTTCCCCCACAAAAGGTCTTTATTACAGACAGAAGTACTCCTCAGTTTCATCAGCTGTCCGGGTGGCTGGTCTCAGACGATTCCGTAGGTGAAGAAGCCGGATGTGGAGGTCATGGGTTGGCGTGGTTACACGTGGTCTGCGGTTGTGAGGCCGGTTGGGCAAACTGCCAAATTCTCTAAAACGACATTGGAGGCAGCTTATGGTAGAGAAATGAACATTCAATTATCTGGCAACAGCTCTGGTGGACATTCCAGCAGTCAGCATGCCACTTGCACTCTCCCTAAAAACTTGAGACATCTGTTGTGTTGTGTGTGACACAACTGCACATTTTAGAGTGGCCTTTTATTGTCCCCAGCACAAGGTGCACCTGTGTAATGATCATGCTGTTTAATCAGCTTCTTGATATTGCACACCTGTCAGGTGGATGGATTATCTTGGCAAAGGAGAAATGCTCACTAACAGGGATGTAAACAAATTTGTGCACAACATTTGAGAGAAATAAGGTTTTTGTGCGTATGGAAAATTTCTGGAATCTTGTACTTCAGCTCATGAAACATGGGACCAACACTTTACATGTTGCGTTCAATATACATAGTAATAAAGCTTGATGTGAAGGCCTATCCATCCTCTGTAATGGCCAGGGAGACCTTGGTAAAGGACACCAACACCTGTCACTGTGTTTAGGATATCTGCTGCCATTGTGTCATCACACCCTCCCAACTGGGGGGCAGGGACCAAGTGGTGTCCTGTTTTCACTAATCACTCTGTAGGCTAATTCCTTGACATGCAGGCACCACCATGGACTTTATTGGGAAGTTCAGCTACAGGTGTGTCGTGACGTGACCTTTATTAATCTGATGACTGTTATTTATCTAATTAACTAACTATGTTTAATTGTTACCCGATTTTTAAATAATCATGTAACAATTAACTCTTTCGGATTTGGGGCACCACGGGAGCGGTTGTTTAAAGAGTTACCATCTCCCGAATTAAACTCTAGAAGGTATATACCTATTATATATACAGTTGAAGTCAGAAGTTTACATACACTTAGGTTGGAGTCATTAAAACTTGCTTTTCAACCACTCCACAAATGTCTTGTTAACGAACTATAGTTTTGGCAAGTCGGTTAGGACATCTACTTTGTGCACGACGCAAGTAATTTTTCCAACAATTGTTTACAGACAGATTATTTCACTTATAATTCACTCTATCACAATTCCAATGGGTCAGAAGTTTACATACACTAAGTTGACTGTGCCTTTAAACAGCTTGGAAAATTCCAGAAATGATGTCATGGTTTTAGAAGCTTCTGATAGGCTAATTGACATAATTTCAGTCAATTGGAGGTATACCTGTGGATGTATTTCAAGGCCTACCTTCAATCTCAGTGCCTCTTTGCTTGACATCATGGGAAAATCTAAAGAAATCAGCCAAGACCTCAGAAAAGAAATTGTAGACCTCCACAAGTCTGGTTCATCCTTGGGAGCAATTTCCAAACGCCTGAAGGTACCACATTCATCTGTACAAACAATAGTACGCAAGTATAAACACCATGGAACCACGCAGCCGTCATACCGCTCAGGAAGGAGACGCGTTCTGTCTCCTAGAGATGAACGTACTTTGGTGCGAAAAGTGCAAATCAATCCCAGAACAACAGCAAAGGACCTTATGAAGATGCTGGAGGAAACAGGTACAAAAGTATCTATATCCACAGTAAAACAAGTCTTATATCGACATAACCTGAAAGGCCGCTCAGCAAGGAAGAAGCCACTGCTCCAAAACTGCCATAAAAAAGCCAGACTACGGTTTGCAACTGCACATGGGGACAAAGATCGAACTGTTTGGCCATAATGACCATTGTTATGTTTGGAAGAAAAAGGGGGTCGCTTGCAAGCCGAAGAACACCATCCCAAACATGAAGTACGGGGGTGGCAGCATCATGCTGTGGGGGTGCTTTGCTGCAGGTGGGACTGGTGCGCTTCACAAAATAGATGGCATCATGAGGAAGGAAAATGATGTGGATATATTGAAGCAACATCTCAAGACATCAGTCAGGATGTTAAAGCTTGGTCGCAAATGGGTCTTCCAAATGGACAATGACCCCAAGCATACTTCCAAAGTTGCGGCAAAATGGCTTAAGGACAACAAAGTCAAGGTATTGGAGTGGCCATCACAAAGCCCTGACCTCAATCCTATAGAAAATGTGTGGGCAGAACTGAAAAAGCGTGTGCGAGCAAGGAGGCCTACAATCCTGACTCAGTTACACCAGCTCTGTCAGGAGGAATGGGCCAAAATTCACCCAACTTATTGTGGGAAGCTTGTGGAAGTCTACCCGACACGTTTGACCCAAGTTAAACAATTTAAAGGCAATGCTACCAAATACTAATTATGATATGATATGAGTGTATGTAAACTTCCGCCTTCAACTGTATATAACAGTCAACTTATTAATCATAACCTCATATCATATCATCATTCTGAACGTTGTATCCTCCTTGCATCTGCAAAAACCCCAGCCTTAATTATGATTCAGCCTACACAAATTGGTTTAATTATTTATTTACTAGCTAACTAAATAATAACACAGGATAAACATACATACACTGTACAGGTTATTGACTAGAAACTTAATAAGATTGAAACAGGTCCCTAGCGGACTGACACAATATGACGGCTTGTTACAGAAGAGATGGAGAGAGGGCAGAGAGGGACAGAGACATACTACTTTGGTACATTTAGAAACTACTCTCACAGTAACCATATACTTTGCACACGAACTGCCGCCCACTTGGAGTAAGAAATCATGAATGTGTTTACGTGGGAATGCCTTGGTTCTTCGTTTATTTCTGTCGGAACCAAGCCTTCTTGGAAAGGGGGTTGGGTGGGCCTTTCCGCGGCCTGCTTGTAAGGCTCTGATTGTCCACAAGAGGTCACAATGTCCATCTTAGTTGTCCATGGCTGCAATGACTTGAACAGAACTACAGAATCGATTCTTCTTCCCGTCGCTCTTGAAGTTGAGTATTTGAAGATGGGCTCGATGGTCCCGAATGGGGTGATGAGAGTAGCGTAGTATACAATGATTTGAAGAGAGTAGTAGAATGGTCCTACTTAAATTCACTTTTCTAGATACTGTACTTAGAACAGCTAATCAGCCGTACCAGTGGTTGTCCGGGAGGTGACTTATCGTCTCTACCTAGTGTTGAAATTCAGGGTTCGAACCACTTTAGACGTGAGCTGCAGCTCGAGTCTTTCTGGTTCCATATGTTCCAACCATTTTTAACGTGTAGCGGCTGCTTCACGTCTTTCTGGTCTAAAAGTTAATTTCTCTGCCAAGCCTTTATGCACTCTGGTCTAAAGGGCTGTTCCGTCATGCTGACACACACTCTGACCTCACTCGGGGCGTGGCAATTTACTGTGCAAAGTATTATGAAAAACAATTATCTCATTAGAAAACTAAAATCACATTACTATCTTAACAAAAATACTGACATTTTTCATATTATATGCTCAACGAATCAGATGAAAACCTCATACATGTAGTGGGCATACTTTCCAAGTTACAGTATTTCCTCCATAAGGTTTTTATGACTTCACAAAATAACAACCCATATGACATTCATTTCTATAGATAGTCTCTGACAATTCCCCACGTTCTTATGTTAGAAATAATTTTCCAGTATTCACTTTTTGGACGTTAGAGTTTAGGCGGGAAAAGTCTCTGTAGACAAAGGAACATTCCTTTCGCCAATACCGGAGAGGGAGATCGCTGAATGTTCTAATCCTTGATTTACAACAGGGTGTGAATTGTCAAAACCCCCACACCAGTTCCCTCCTCCCCTCTGCAGGTGAAAAAGGGGTCTGGTGGGAGTTTATTCATTGCAAACCTGATCTGACCATTTGCACCACAACAGGACAGCCATGACAGGTAGCTTAGTGGTTAAGAGCGTAGTGCCAGTAACCGAAAGGTCGCTGGTTCTAATCCCCGAGCCGACTAGGTGAAAAATCTGTCTGTGCCCTTGAGCAAGGCACTTAACCCTAATTGCTCCTGTTATTTCGCTCTGACTAAAATTTAAAAATGTTAACATATACAGTGGGGAGAACAAGTATTTGATACACTGCCGATTTTGCAGGTTTTCCTACTTACAAAGCATGTAGAGGTCTGTAATTTTTATCATAGGTACACTTCAACTGTGAGAGACGGAATCTAAAACAAAAATCCAGAAAATCACATTGTATGATTTTTAAGTAATTAATTTGCATTTTATTGCATGACATAAGTATTTGATACATCAGAAAAGCAGAACTTAATATTTGGTACAGAAACCTTTGTTTGCAATTACAGAGATCATACTTTTCCTGTAGGTCTTGACCAGGTTTGCACACACTGCAGCAGGGATTTTGGCCCACTCCTCTATACAGACCTTCTCCAGATCCTTCAGGTTTCGGGGCTGTCGCTGGGCAATACGGACTTTCAGCTCCCTCCAAAGATTTTCTATTGGGTTCAGGTCTGGAGACTGGCTAGGCCACTCCAGGACCTTGAGATGCTTCTTACGGAGCCACTCCTTAGTTGCCTTGGCTGTGTGTTTCGGGTCATGTCATGCTGGAAGACCCAGCCACGACCCATCTTCAATGCTCTTACTGAGGGAAGGAGGTTGTTGGCCAAGATCTCGCAATACATGGCCCCATCTATCCTCCCCTCAATACGGTGCAGTCGTCCTGTCCCCTTTGTAGAAAAGCATCCCCAAAGAGTGATGTTTCCACCTCCATGCTTCACGGTTGGGATGGTGTTCTTGGGGTGGTACTCATCCTTCTTCTTCCTCCAAACACGGCGAGTGGAGTTTAGACCAAAAAGCTCTATTTTTGTCTCATCAGACCACATGACCTTCTCCCATTCCTCCTCTGGATCATCCAGATGGTCATTGGCAAACTTCAGACGGGCCTGGACATGCGCTGGCTTGAGCAGGGGGACCTTGCGTGCGCTGCAGGATTTTAATCCATGACGGCGTAGTGTGTTTCTAATGGTTTTCTTTGAGACTGTGGTCCCAGCTGTCTTCATGTCATTGACCAGGTCCTGCCGTGTTGTTCTGGGCTGATCCCTCAACTTCCTCATGATCATTGATGCCCCACGAGGTGAGATCTTGCATGGAGCCCCAGACCGAGGGTGATTGACCGTCATCTTGAACTTCTTCCATTTTCTAATAATTGCGCCAACAGTTGTTGCCTTCTCACCAAGCTGCTTGCCTATTGTCCTGTAGCCCATCCCAGCCTTGTGCAGGTCTACAATTTTATCCCTGATGTCCTTACACAACTCACTGATCTTGGCCATTGTGGAGAGGTTGGAGTCTGTTTGATTGAGTGTGTGGACAGGTGTCTTTTATACAGGTAACGAGTTCAAACAGGTGCAGTTAATACAGGTAATGAGTGGAGAACAGGAGGGCTTCTTAAAGAAAAACTAACAGGTCTGTGAGAGCCGGAATTCTTACTGGTTGGTAGGTGATCAAATACTTATGTCATGCAATAAAATGCAAATTAATTACTTAAAAAACATACAATGTGATTTTCTGGATTTTTGTTTTAGATTCCGTCTCTCACAGTTGAAGTGTACCTATGATAAAAATTACAGACCTCTACATGCTTTTTAAGTAGGAAAACCTGCAAAATCGGCAGTGTATCAAATACTTGTTCTCCCCACTGTACTAATGGAGTAGTGTGTTTCCACTGCAGAAGTTGATAGTAACACAACTATGAGAAGATGGGCAGGGGGTAGATCTTGGGCACAAACCGCCTCATGTTCGTTCGTGTCACTTCACCTGCTACTGTATGGCCAGAATTAATAATTGATACCACAGGTGTCTGCATCACATAACGGAGCTCAAATGAGTCATACATTGCCTTCAGGAAGTATTCAGACCCGTTGACTTTTCCACATTTTGCTACGTTACAGCCTTATTCTAAAATTGAGTCAATAGTTTTTCCCCCTCATCAATCTACACAAAATACCCCATAATGACAAAGCAAAAACAGGTTTTTTATAAATTTTTGCTAATTTATCAACAAAAAAAACGGAAATATCACATTTACATAAGTATTAAGACCCTTTACTCAGTACTTTGTTGAAGCACCTTTGGCAGCGATTACAGCCTTGAGTCTTCTTGGGTATGACGCTACAAGCTTGGCACACCTGTATTTGGGGAGTTTCTCCCATTCTTCTCTGCAGATCCTGTCAAGCTCTGTCAGGTTGGATGGGGAGCGTTGCTGCACAGCTATTTTCAGGTCTCTCAAGAGATGTTAGATCGGGTTCAAGTCCGGAGCGCTGGCTGGGCCACTCAAGGACATTGAGACTTGTCCCGAAGTCATTCCTGCGTTGTCTTGGCTGTTTGCTTAGGGTCATTGTCCTGTTGGAAGGTGAACCTTCGCCCCAGTCTGAGGTCCCTTCTCCCTCGATTGCTCAGTTTGCCTGGGCGGCCAGCTCTAGGAAGAGTCTTGGTGGTTCCAAACTTCTTCCATTTAAGAATGATGGAGGCCACTGTGTTCTTGGGGACCTTCAATGCTGCAGGCATTTTTTGGTACCCTTCCCCAAATCTGTGCCTCGACACAATCCTGTCTCGGAGCTCTACGGACAATTCCTTTGAACTCATGGCTTGGTTTTTGCTCTGACGTGCACTGTCAACTGTGGGACCTTATATAGACAGGTGTGTGCCTTTCCAAATCATGTCCAATCAATTGAACTTACCACAGGTGGACTCCAATCAAGTTGTAGAAACATCTCAAGGATGATCAATGGGAACAGGATGCACCTGAGCTCAATTTTGAGTCATAGCAAAGGGTCTGAATACTTATATATTTTTTATACATTTGCAAAAAATGTCTAAACCTGTTTTCAATGTGTCATTATGTGGTATTGTGTGTAGATTGCTGAGAAAAAAATAGATTTCATTCAATTTAGAATAAGGCTGTAACATAAACTATAAAAAATAAATAGTTCATTTTCAAACTGCCCCCATTATTCTGTATACACATATTAGCATTTCCTTCAAACTGCCCCCATTCTTCTGTATAGGCATATTAGCCTTTCCTTCAAACTGCCCCCATTCTTCTGTATACGCATATTAGCATTTCCTTCAAACTGCCCCCATTCTTCTGTATAGGCATATTAGCCTTTCCTTCAAACTGCCCCCATTCTTCTGTATAGGCATATTAGCATTTCCTTCAAACTGCCCCCATTCTTCTGTATAGGCATATTAGCCTTTCCTTCAAACTGCCCCCATTCTTCTGTATAGGCATATTAGCATTTCCGCCAATCATCATCAAAATAATAATAATAATAATAATTATTATTATGATGATGAAACCAATCCGGGCCTTTCAGATCTTGGAGGGGGTTATAGCGCCTAGTGGTAGAGGTTAGGGCAGGGGTGGGCAAACCTTTTGGCTCAAGGGCCACATTAAGTTTTTGAAACCAAGTGAAGGGCCACATACTATATGCGTGACAAAACATGTGAAGCCTTTATTCATTTTCACATTGACACGCAACTACTAGTGTACTGTAGGTGTACATATGCTTGCAGAACAATTCTACCCTTGTACCATCTCTACCCTTGTTCTTTGTGCATTTTTCACAATTGATGTAATTTATAACATCACAGACAATCAAACACACACAGATCCTGCATCTCTACCCTTGTAAAGTACAATCAAACTTAGTCACAATATGCTAACTTTAAAATAGATATATATTATATGACTGGAGACATGCAAAATGTAAAAGCATAATCCTTGCCTACCCCAGTCACGGTTATTCAAGTCTTAATGTGAACAATGGGGCTGGTCACCTCTCTTGGCAAGGGCATCGAAGTCTGGTGTCATCTTTGATGTAGAGATTCTCAGAACAGCTGACAAGTGGTCATTTGTTAAATTTGACCTGTGACGGAATTTGTTTTAATTCATGACAGAACGTTTGTTCACACACATATGTGGACCCGAATAAAACAAGCATCCTTTGGGCGTGCTTTTTAAAGTTTGGAAACTTTGTTTCATTCAGTGAGCCATAGAACTGGTCTATTGTTGCTGTTTTGTACTTCTCCTTCAAAGCACTGTCACATTGGATGTCGATGAACTCCAATTGTGTGTCTGGTGGTGCTTTCTCACTGTCAAGCTCCAGCTCAGTCTCAATTTTGGTGAAGTCTGAGATGTGGCGGGAAAACTCTGCATGCAGGTTGATGAAAAGTGCTACTGTATGTCTCAGTGCGGCACTGCGATGTGGGTGTGTTCAGTGCAGCCAGTGTCAGAAAATGAGCGAGAGACCGGCTGCTCATTTGTCTGGAGAACAACACAAGTTTGGCCTTGAATGCTTTCACGTTGGAATACAATTCATGCACAGTTTCACATTTAGATGGTTCAGATGTCCCAAAATGTCCACACTGAAACCAAAGTCGCCCAGCCAGTCTGTGTCTTTCAACTCTGAGAAGTCGTCAGCTTTACCGACCGTATCAAGGAACATTCCTATCTCCCCTGTCAGTTCCCACACTGCGAAATACTTTTCCCAGGCTTAGCCAGCGCACATTTGAATGGTACAACAAGTCCTGGTGCTCTGCCTCTGTGTCATTGAGCAGCTGAATGAACAGACGATGGTCAAGCCCCCTTGCCCGTATAAAGTTGACAAGTTTTACAACCACTTTGACAAATTTTTCCAGCTTTAACACACTTTTACACAGGGCTTCCTGATTAATAATACAGTGAATAAATATCAATTCCTCTGAGTTAGGGCTTTCTTCTTTTACTTTCTTGTAATCTTTTTAGTAGGCCAATGTTTTTACCGGTTAGATTTGGTGATCCAGTGTCAGTTTGCTCCACGGTAGATTCCTTTTTTCCAAGCAGGCAGACACCCTGTCATAGAAGTCAGAGTCCCTGGTTGTTCCCATCATTCAGAGTCCACTTTTCTCATTTTAGCAGCACTCATTTTTCACGTCAAAAGTCATCAAGCAATGAAGTGGCTATGATGACTGAGTGCATTCTGAATCTGACTGTAGGCCCAAATACAGAGCGCGCTGCCAGGCTACAGCGCCATCTATTGGAGGTTGTTTGTGTATCATGGAATGAGTAATTTTAGGCCAAAGATTGTAACTCAAATATAATAGTATTTAATACATTTCAAAAATGTCTCGCGGGCCGGATTGAAGTGCCCGGCGGGCCATACTTTGCCCCAACTTGGGTTAGGGCCATGTGTTCAAGCCATATATATGCTATTCACTTACAACCTTTTTAGAAGGCACACACACACACTGCCTAGACTAAATGCTGTGTGTGTCTCACTCGCACGCACATATACTCACAGGTACTTATAAAAGGTCAATTGGCCCTTCACCAGTATTGAAGCTGTTCAGTGTGTCTGTCTCTCTCTGTGTGGATGGGTTCCATCTAGTCATGCACACAGGCCCTGGGGGGAGGAGATGGAGAGCTCTTTTACATTCCTTCTTTAATGGCGGTGAACATTGCTCTCCCATAAACTGGCTTTCACTTTCCGCATGTGTCTAGAACACTTTTCTGTGAAATGACTGGAGACTTTTCAACAATTGAAGGCACAAACCATACAAATGTATTTTTCTGAATACACACAAGTCCGACGGTATAATGTAGTTATACAGCCATTTTGAGTCAGTTGATATGTTGCTACATAGATATGTTATAAGCCTTATTTAATGGCATTATAAAGGCATGTAAATGCTTACAATAAGTGGCATATACTGTTATTATATACCTGCAGGCTTTAGGCAAAGTGTTACCAAACGGATCAATGTTGCCTTTCTACATGACCAATTCGGGGGAAACAAATCAAGAGTTTATTTGTCACATGCACAGGATACAGCAGGTGTAAACAGTGCAGTGAAATGCTGACTAGCAAGCTCTTCCTCAGCGATGTGCAGTATTCAGTATCAAAGGTAAATAAATAGAAAATCCAGAATAGGATCACTTAAAAAGAGCATGGAATCAATACTAGGTCAGGTAACATTTTTAGAAACACACATGAATATCCGCTATATACAAGGTCAGTACCACATAGGCTAAACAATGAAACTGTGACATTCAACATGTTTGATTTGAACTGACGATGCCCCCAGGACTTGATAGAGCTTCACCTCACCTACTGCAACAGCCTATCAGCGCGCAGCCTAAAGACTCTGGCCAGCTTCCGCCAGACCCTGGTCTCCCTCAGCCTGTTCGGCTGCAGCCACATCTTCTACCGCAAGGGTGGCGCCCCGCTGGCGTGCAACGAGGACGACGAGGAAGAGGCGGAGCGGCCGGCCTCCAGACAGGCGCTGGACACAGACTTCAGCTTCCAGGGCTTCAACCGGCTGCGGCTGCTCAACCTGGGGGGTCTGCCTGAAGAGGTGGACCCCGAGGCCCTGCTCAAGCCCCTGCCGGCCCTCAACTCTCTGGACCTGTCCGGGGTGCAGCTGCCCAGGGCTGCCTTCCTGGCCCAGTGGAAGGAGAGGCTGGCCTCGCTGGTGCTTTACAACGTGGACCTGTCAGAGGAGCTGGTCAACACAGTGGTGGAGCTGGGACACCTCAGGTGAGCTGGGAGGGGCAGGGTTTAGTCTTGGTACAGTAACTGGGTAAAATAAACTGGTTTTTCTTTCGGGCCCCTTGGTTCTGGAATAACCATCAGAATTTGCTTGATTTAGAAAGTTGAGAAGTTGAGAGTTCAAGATATGCTGCCCGATACTGTGTGTAATTGTTTTCAGTCTAGTAGACCATGGCTAGGTGATAATTACAGATGTACGGTTTTGAGCAATAATTGATCATCAAGAACTGTTAATCTGTTAATAACTCAGTTAATAACTCTCAACTTCTCAACTTGAATTCTCTAAATTAAGTAAACATCACTCTTTGTGCAGTAGGTTTGTACCATGTTCTGTACCCTTCTCTCTTTGTGTTCCCCAGGCATCTGGATATCTCCCGAGAGCGCACCTCCAAGTTCAAAATGACCCGTAAGATCCTGACGGCCATCGTGCAGGGCCTGGTCAACCTGGTGTCATTGGACATCTCAGGCCACATCATGCTGGACAACTGCACAGTCCCACACCTGGAGGAGGCCATGGGACGTCCAAGGTGAGCCACTTGTGTCTATTTAGTCCTTATGAAGACTTTATATATGCTATACGTTCTGACTTTTGTTGCTAAAACTATGTCATGTAGAGTGGGGAGAACAAGTATTTGATACACTTCCGATTTTGCAGGTTTTCCTACTTACGAAGCATGTAGAGGTCTGTAATTTTTATCATAGGTACACTTCAACTGTGAGAGACGGAATCTAAAAAATCAAAAAATCCAGAAAATCACATTGTATGATTTTTAAGTAATTAATTTGCATTTTATTGCATGACATAAGTATTTGATACATCAGCAAAGCAGATCTTAATATTTGGTACAGAAACCTTTGTTTGCAATTACAGAGATCATACGTTTCCTGTAGGTCTTGACCAGGTTTGCACACACTGCAGCAGGGATTTTGGCCCACTCATACAGACCTTCTCCAGATCCTTCAGGTTTCGGGGCTGTCGCTGGGCAATACGGACTTTCAGCTCCCTCCAAAGATTTTCTATTGGGTTCAGGTCTGGAGACTGGCTAGGCCACTCCAGGACCTTGAGATGCTTCTTACGGAGCCACTCCTTAGTTGCCCTGGCTGTGTGTTTCGGGTCGTTGTCATGCTGGAAGAACCAGCCATGACCCATCTTCAATGCTCTTACTGAGGGAAGGAGGTTGTTGGCCAAGATCTCGCGATACATGGCCCCATCCATCCTCCCCTCAATACGGTGCAGTCGTCCTGTCCCCTTTGCAGAAAAGCATCCCCAAAGAATGATGTTTCCACCTCCATGCTTCACGGTTGGGATGGTGTTCTTGAGGTTGTACTCATCCTTCTTCTTCCTCCAAACACGGCGAGTGGAGTTTAGACCAAAAAGCTCTATTTTTGTCTCATCAGACCACATGACCTTCTCCTATTCCTCCTCTGGATCATCCAGATGGTCATTGGCAAACTTCAGACGGGCCTGGACATGCGCTGGCTTGAGCAGGGGGACCTTGCATGCGCTGCAGGATTTTAATCCATGACGGCGTAGTGTGTTACTAATGGTTTTCTTTGAGACTGTGGTCCCAGCTCTCTTCAGGTCATTGACCAGGTCCTGCCGTGTAGTTCTGGGCTGATCCCTCACCTTCCTCATGATCATTGATGCCCCACAAGGTGAGATCTTGCATGGAGCCCCAGACCGAGGGTGATTGACCGTCATCTTGAACTTCTTCCATTTTCTAATAATTGCGCCAACAGTTGTTGCCTTCTCACCAAGCTGCTTGCCTATTGTGGCCTCTGGTGGTCCTCTGTAGCTCAGCTGGTAGAGCACGGCGCTTGTAACGCCAAGGTAGTGGGTTCGATCCCCGGGACCACCCATACACAAAAATGTATGCACGCACGACTGTAAGTCGCTTTGGATAAAAGCGTCTGCTAAATGGCATATTATTATTATTATTATTATTATTATTATTATTATTATTGTCCTGTAGCCCATCCCAGCCTTGTGCAGGTCTACAATTTTATCCCTGATGTCCTTACACAGCTCTCTGGTCTTGGCCATTGTGGAGAGGTTGGAGTCTGTTTGATTGAGTGTGTGGACAGGTGTCTTTTATACAGGTAACGAGTTCAAACAGGTGCAGTTAATACAGGTAATGAGTGGAGAACAGGAGGGCTTCTTAAAGAAAAACTAACAGGTCTGTGAGAGATGGAATTCTTACTGGTTGGTAGGTGATCAAATACTTATGTCATGCAATAAAATGCAAATTAATTACTTTAAAATCATACAATGTGATTTTCTGGATTTTTGATTTTTTTGATTCCGTCTCTCACAGTTGAAGTGTACCTATGATAAAAATTACAGACCTCTACATGCTTTGTAAGTAGGAAAACCTGCAAAATCAGCAGTGTATCAAATACTTGTTCTCCCCACTGTAAATAGTAGGACTGGTTGATGTAATCTCTCTTTCTAAAAATATGTGTATATTTCCCATGTTATGTAAATATGACATCTCTCTTTTTAATTTTAATTTTATTTTTAGCATTGAGCCCTGCAAGAGCAGCATCTACCCTTTCCAGGAGCTGAAGAGGCCTCTGCAGTTTCTGGGGCTCTACAACACCACCCTTTGTAATGTGACGCACATCCCTGCGTACAAGGTAAAGTTAGAGCAGGGGTTTCCAACTCCCATCCTGGAGAGCTACTGGCGGTGCTGGCTTTTGCTCCAGCCCATCACTAACATAAAATTAATCAGAATAGTCAACTAATCAAGGTCTTGGGCTTGTGTTATTGTGTTATTATAGGGCTGGAACAAACGTTAGAGCAAGGTTCGACCAAAAACCTGCAAACCCAGTAGCTTTCATGTCTCTTGTGCCAACCCGTGTCTGTGCGTATATGCATCACTTCTATTGTGTCCCTGTTCAGGTCACAGGCTCCAAGAATGAAGACCAGGTCCTGAATGCCATCGAGGCCTACACAGAGTTCCGCCCGGAGTTGGCCCACCGAGCAATCAACCAGCTGTTTGACATCGCCAGGATACAGCACTGCAGCCAGCTACTGCGGGCACTTCAGGTTAGGGACCTTTTTGGTTTAAATGAAAGTGTCTGAAAATGAAACCTCCTTCAATGGTTTAGAAAGGGTGCTTGACCACAAAGTGGAAAGTCTCTTTCATTTTGATACTGTAGGATCCCATTTCTGACACCAATAAAGTTGAAAAACTGCTAGCTGTACTTTCATTTATTTGACCGAGTTATAGTTACCTCTCAAGGTTCATTATCAATTTATCCCGTCTGTCTTGTCGTGATCCCCCCCAGCTGGTGATTGCTGCGCTGAAGTGCCATAAGTACGAAAAGAGCGTCCAGGTGACAGGCAGCGCGGCCCTCTTCTACCTGACCAACACTGAGTACCGCAGTGACCAGAGCATGAGGCTACGCCGGCAGGTCATCCAGGTGGTGCTCAACGGCATGGAGCAGTACCAAGAGGTCACGGTAAGGTCAAGTCTCTCCCATCAGTGAAACTGCAAAGTTAATTCCCTTCACAAATTTAAAAGGACTGGATTGGTATGTATTAGGGCTGAAGGAGTTTAATCTTAGGGGTGTGCCGAGTACTCGGGCAAAAGGAGTATTGTAAAAAGTATATGGGTACAATTATGATCGGAGCAGCACGCATCTTTCTCATGAAATGTGCTCTAAATAATTCAACTGGCTAGTTCTGCTGTCCGTAAAGAAATGGCTGGCTGTAGCTTGATTCTGCTGCTACGATTGGATAGAGTAAAGCTGTATCGCCGTTCACTCGCTTCATAATTTCACCGGTCACTTCTCCTTGCATGTATTGGTCCGAACATTTAGATAAATGCTGCTAGTCTGCTACTAAATCAATTGGTGAGGACCTTTGCTAGCAAGCTATCAATGTGTATAATGTCTTACAACTAGAGTGACTGTAGGAAAATAACATGGTGCGCGTTCTTGATGACAGAAAACTTGTCTTCCCGCTGCAAGTTTTGAGAACACACAGACACACACACACGTCGGCAGCTCCTGATCAGCAGCTTTCTTGATCTATAAAAGTGCAGGGGGACTATAAGCTATATTTGTAACCTCTATTTTGGCATTTAAAACACTTTTTTCAGATCACAAGTGTCATCTGATCTATCAACTGTCAATTTACGAATACGATTACGAGTATGGCAAGATCGGCACACCCCTAGTTTAAACCGTATTCCTCACTCCCATTCCCCCTTTCCACCCTTCCATCCCCCTCGTCTCCCTCCCCCTTCCTCCCCCCAGGTCCAGAGGAACTGCTGCCTGACGCTGTGTAACTTCAGCATCCCCGAGGAGCTGGAGTTCCAATACGGCCGGGTCAACCTGCTGCTGCTGAAGATCCTGGAGCCGGCCCGGCAGGACGAGTCCATCCAGCGCATTGCCGTGCACCTCTGCAACGCCCTGGTCTGCCAAGTGGACAACCACCACAAGGAGGCTGTGGGCAAGATGGGCTTCGTCAAGGTAGGAGAGACTGCTATTTTGTTTGATATAGATCAACAATCAAACACTTACACACTTGTACATTGCACACAAGATGGGCTTTGTCAAGGTAGGAGAGACTCACATTGATAGCCGTAACCTTATGCACAAATTGGTACACTTGTCTCTTACACACATTCCAGGGTTTCCCTTAGGAAAATGTGGTGCTGGACATTTGACCGGCAGCATTTTAATTTACTGGACATTTGAGAGATTTACCGGACCCATATGCATTGGAATGCGTAACCTGATCAGGCCGTCCACCCATAGTGTTCAGAATGATAGAAATCACATTTAGATTATGGTAATTCATATTAACAGAACATGCAAGTCGAGGGTGCAACGATGTGCGGTCCTTCTTACTGAATTCTGATGTGCACTTTGAAGATGTTAGAATAACTGTCCACATTTACTTTTCCTCAGCCAACAAGATGAGTAACGAACCGCAAAATCACCAGCCTATGTCAATCTACTATCCCCCATAGTAGAAAAGTTGACCTATTCTATTGGTCAGCTTATCGAGAAAGAAATAGCCTATTCCAAACAGACTCTGGGACAGTTGTGGGACGATCCCAAATTCATCCAACCAGTAGGCCTAGGCTCCATAAAAAAAAACGTTAAAAAGCAATGAGTCTGATGCAACAGATCAGAACGTTTAGCTTCAAATGTTGAAGTGCAGCAATGCACATAAGAGAGTAGGCTGCACACAAATGTTCATTCCATAATGCAATTAGCGGGAAAACTCTGTTGTCAAAAGCGCATGGCACATGCAAGCGGTTTCATGTGACAGAGACAAAAATGTAGAAAGAGAGGAGATCTAATATGCAACAACTAGCATGGGTTGCTGATATAACTAGGATTGGGCCTTTGGCTACTGGACAATGAAAGAAAGTTTATATAAAATAATTGCCTCCACGGATATGGTCTGATTTTGGCTAGGCTACTTTGAAGCAAGGTAAGACATGCCTCATAATATGTATTAAAATGTTCAGGTTTCAAACAATGAAGTATATGTTTTCAAAATGCATACTGCCTCCAGCTCATTGTAAAGTGGTGTGTGAGGCGCTGATGAAGCCTGTCTTCCGTTGACTATGTTTAGTGTTGGAGATGCAGCAGCTCTCAGCTGTCTGACCGATTTTCCACTCAAAGGCTCTGTATCTGTATGCGTGTGATAAATAAGATACATAATGAATATACTGCACACATGCACCAATTTAATTCCACTACATGGACTGGTGTTTCCATCAGTGAAGAGGCTAAAAAGCAGATTTATTCTTCTTCTCCCGGACAATTAGCCAGCGGCAATTTTATTTATCGGCTTTTCAATTTTTTATCTGCCAAAAGCTGGCTATTACCGGCTAACGGAAACCCTGACGCATTCGTACATTCTCTCACTCTCTCACACACACACAGTACACACACACACACACACACACACAGGTCATTGATATGTTGTGTGAAGTCATCTCGTGTTATTTCTTTTTTTCTTCAGACAATGTTGAATCTGATACAGAAAAAGCTACAGGACAGGACGGTGAGTCTCGTTTTGATTCTTTCTTGTGAATCAAAAATCGTGCAGATTTTTTTAACATCCCTACCATTCCACAAGTACAGACTCCTTCCTACATCTCGTCTGAAATGACCTCAAAGAACCTGCAAACTGGATTGAGCCACATCACAATCAGATTGTCATGAGTCTTAGCTCATTCCAGACCTAATAGTATTTTGACATGCAACCCTTAAGAAAACATTGCATGTGTTAAGCCAATTCAAGTGTACTGTCTAGAACGGCATTGCCTGGCTAACTGATGAGTCTACCTAGAGGTCACTTTGGATAAAAATGAATGCCACCTTCATTTTGTTTATCTTTCTACAGTGTGACCAGGTGATGGAGTTCTCCTGGAGCGCGCTGTGGAACATCACTGACGAGACGCCAGACAACTGTCAGATGTTCCTCAACTGTAGGGGCATGAGCCTCTTCCTGGACTGCCTGAAGGTTAGCTAGGGCATCTCACCTTTTCATAACCACCAAGTGATTTGTTAAAATATACAATCAATGTACTCCATCTGAAATGAAATAAATAAAATTCCTTCTCCCATCATGCAGTGCTTGCTTGTGTCTCAACCTTTTTTGTCCTTCACTGCCTCTCAGGAGTTTCCAGACAAGCAGGAGCTCCACCGTAACATGCTGGGGCTGCTGGGTAATGTGGCAGAAGTGAGGGCTCTGCGGCCACAACTCCTCACCCCACAGTTCATCTCTGTCTTCAGGTAAGAGAATGTCCTTTGTCTATATTGAATGGTTAAACTGATCCTGCTGCTATCTTGGACCAGGGGCCGTGTGTATCAAGCGTCTCAGAGTAGAAGGGCTGATTTAGGATTAGTTTTGCCTTTTGGATCACAATGAATAAGATTACATGGACGGGGGGGGGGGGGGGGGGGCCTGATCCTGATCCTGATCCTAGATCAGTACTCCTACTCTGAGACACTTGATACATACGGTCCCAGATCTGTCTTGCAATATAGATTTGATCTCATTGAGACTAACTTGGATAAATAAAGCTGGATTCTGACTGTTCTCTGGTGACAGTGACCTGCTGGACAGCAAGGCGGATGGGATCGAGGTGTCCTATAACGCGTGTGGGGTGCTGTCCCACATCGTGTTTGATGGGCCAGAGGCATGGGGCATGGAGGAGCCACTGAGGGACACGGTCATGGACAAGATGATGGCTGCTATCCAGAGCTGGGATGTGACCTCCCGCCGGAATATCAACTACAGGTAAACAGAGAACTCAATGGAGATGAGTCTCTGGAGACAGTTACAAATGTCACCTTGATCCCAACTACAATTGGATATATCCTCAGAAAATGATCAAAGTAGATTGTCTGGAAAATATTTAACTATTGCTGAACTTCTCCAACAGACCTGTAATGCAACCTTTTAGATGTGCGAGTGCATTTCACTTTTCATGTATACATTTTCAGAATTAACACTTGAATTAACGCTCACATCTTCTGAATTAATTATTGAATGAACACTCACATTTTGGGAATTAACACTCCCTCCCCTTTTCTGTTCAGATCCTTTGAGCCTATCCTGCGCCTGCTGCCCCAGAGCATTGCCCCAGTCAGTCAGCACTGGGCCACATGGGCACTCTTCAACCTGGTGTCAGTCTACCGTGAGTATCGATACAAAGACCAATCCCACTTCTGACACCAGTAAGCGAGTTGCCAGGTAAAACCGCTTATTGGTGTCAGCGGTGGGACCAGTCTTTGCCACACTGTATCAATTTGAGAGACTGCCGAGGTCAGTTATTTCATTAATGTTTATTACATTTTACATTTTAGTCATTTAGCAGACGCTCTTATCCAGAGCGACTTACAGTTAATGAGTGCATACATTTTCATACTGAAAATGTATTTATTGTTGCATTATTAATATAATAATTGTGGATTCACTTTTGGAGTATTCGTTTTTCAAGAGAATACAGCCCACTGCCCACACTTTGCCACTCATCAGGGAAAGATCTCTGCTTTATAGTAAAACATTATTCTCCCTTATTTTGTTCCTTTCCTCCCTCAGCGAGTAAGTACTGCCCTCTGCTGGTAAAGGAAGGAGGGATCGTTCTCCTGGAGAAGGTGCTGCAGCTCCAGACATCACACGAAGAGACCAAGGACATGGCGCGGTATGACCTCACCTATTAACCCACCCGACCTTTGACCTGATCATCATTTTAGAACCAATGCGATATTTATGGAGATGTTGATCATTTTGGGGTCTCTTACATTGCATTTACTTTCATTTAAAGTAATGAATTGAAATGTAGTTAATAAATTGAGGACTGCCCTAATCCCCCTTCCCTTAATTTATATATTGACTTGAATTCGAATGGAATGGAGCCCAAACTGTGTGAACTAAATGAAATTGCTGACTCCTCCCTCCCTCTGTTTCAGGAAAGTGATGGAGCAGTGTGAGAACTTCAAAGAAGACCCCATGGAAACGGCGAGGTAGACGACGATCAGCAGAGGTCGACGTCAGGGGAGCAACACCGCTAAACAAACAAAAAGGCAAAACTTCATAGGAACCCTTCACTATCTTCTCACCACGAGGGTCAATTGTGTGCATCGATTTACTGTAGAGCAGAGCAACAGTTTTTTGCCTCTCGGCCAGGCTTTCTGGACAGAACCTTGTTATGCGACACTATTAGGAAGTTGAGATATGGTGCACAGAGTTGGTGTGTGTGTTTTTATTTGTGTTGCACATGATAAGCATCATTTGTATAATGGATTTGTGTTCTCTTATTGGTTTGTTTTGCTTTTTTTTTTGGCGTGCGTGCTTGTCCTCGTTTCAGTGTGAGCACGCCAGAGTGCGTGTGTGTGAGCGTGCTAGAGTGGGTGTAATGAGTGTGTGTCTGTATGGAAGGACGTATGTGTTTATAATAAGGATCAAAACACTGGGGAGATGTTTGTCTGTCTCTCCCGTTAGTCTCTTCTATCGGGTCTAGTGAGAGGCCCTCCATTACATAAGCTGAGTTTCCAACACAGCATCATCAGAGAACATAATGCCCATCATGCTCCTTCTTAGAATCCTCGGTCCTCTCAGCGATTTCTGACAGAGAAATTCTAAATGGATGACGCCATGAGGTGTGGAAGGTGGGTTAGTTTTGTCCCATGCAGCACTGATCTGTGGACAGTTGATATTGCGCAGTGAAGTTGCTATCTCTGTGGAGGCCTCTACATCCCATACTGATTGAGAGCTTAACCTTGGAGTGTAACCATGACGATGACCCCAGCAGAAGTCTTCCTAGATCCTGTGGCATGGGGAAGGACTTCGTTTTGTTTTTCGTTGTAGATATTTGGAGTTGTCTGTCCCATCTTTGTTTCTGTCTGTCTGTTTTTATGATATATGATTATAAACACTCCTATGATTTAATCTGTACATCTAGGCTTGGTTCCCAATTCTTTACATACAGGTAACTGCCAAAATAAAGAAAGCACTTGAGTAAATTAGGGTTCTGATGGCTCTTATGGTGTGGGGTGCATTTTCCTGACATGGTTTAGGTCCACTCAACCCCTTGGAGGGCAAGGTAAACGCCAATAACATATACACAGCCATTCTGAGTGATCACCTTCAACCTATAGTGAAGAATTTCTATCCTGATGGGAGTGGACTCTTCAGTGGTCACTGAATGGTTTGATGAGCATGAAAACGATGTAAACCATATGCCATGTCCGCCTCGGTCACCAGATCTAAACCCAATTGAACACTTATGGGAGATTCTACAGCGGCGCCTGAGACAGTGTTTTCTACCACAATCAACAAAACACCAAATTATGGAATTTCTCGTGGAAGAATGGTGTTGCATCCGTCCAATAGAGTTCTAGAGACTTGTAGGATCTATGCCAAAGCGCATTGAAGCTGTTCTGGCTGCTGGTGTGGCCCAACTCCCTATTACAGGGAGTGTTCTAACTGGGGAGGGGGAAACTGAAAACTAGTTGTTATTGTTAGAGAGGTTTGGAACTATTTCTTATTGGTCTATTAACTAATTTACTGCATGGTGCTGTCACCATTGAAAGCCAAAATTCCATCCCACCAAAACAAACAGACATTTCTGCCGTTCTTTTTCAAACAGCTCTTACACTAAAAGGGCATTATTTTCATCATTTCACAGTATTATTCCAACCTCATAGTGTGGAAATATATGTATAATTTATATACAGTACCAGTCAAAAGTTTGGACACCTACTCATTCAAGGGTTTTTCTTAATTTTTTACTATTTTCTACATTGTAGAATAATAGTGAAGACATCAAAACTATGAAATGGTAGTAACCAAAAAAGTGTTAAACAAATCAAAATATATTTTAGATTTTAGATTCTTCAAAGTATCCACCCTTTGCCTTGATGACAGCTTTGCACACTCTTGGCATTCTCTCAACCAGCTTCACCTGGAATGCTTTTCCAACAGTCTTGAAGGAGTTCCCACATATGCTGAGCACTTGTTGGCTGCTTTTCCTTCACTCTGCGGTCCAGCTCATCCCAAACCATCTCAATTGGGTTGAGGTCGGGTGATTGTGGCCAGGTCATCTGATGCAGCACTCCATCACTCTCCTTCTTGGTCAAATATCCCTTTCACAGCCTGGAGGTGTGTATGGTCATTGTCCTCTTGAAAATCAAATGATAGTCCCACTAAGCGCAAACCAGATGGGATGGCGTATCACTGCAGAATGCTGTGGTAGCCATGCTGGTTAAGTGTGCCTTGAATTATAAATAAATCACAGACAGTGTCACCAGCAAAGCACCATCACACCTACTACTCCATGTTTCACTGTGGGAACCACACATGCGGAGATCATCCATTCACCTACGCGTCTCACAAAGACACAGCGTTTGGTACCAAAAATCTCCAATTTGGACTCATCAGACCAAAGGACAGATTTCCACCTGTCTAATGTCCATTGCTCGTGTTTCTTGGCCCAAGCAAGTCTCTTCTTCTTATTGGTGTCTTTTAGTAGTGGTTTGTTTGCAGCAATTCAACCATGAAGGCCTGATTCACGCAGTTCCCTCCGAACAGTTGATGTTGAGATGTGTCTGTTACTTGAACTCTGTGAAGCATTTATTTGGGCAGCAATTTCTGAGGCTGGAAACTAATGAACTTATCCTCTGCAGCAGAGGTAACTCTGGGTATTCCTTTCCTGTGGCGGTCCTCATGAGAGCCAGTTTCATCATAGCGCTTGATGGTTTTTGCGACTGCACTTGAAGAAACTTTCAAAGTTCTTGACATTTTCCGGATTGACTGCCCTTCATGTCTTAAAGTAATGATGGACTGTCGTTTCTCTTTGCTTATTTGAGCTGTTCTTGCCATAATTTAGACTTGGTATTTTACCAAATAGGGCTATCTTCTGTATACCCCCCTACCTTGTCACAACACAACTGATTGGCTCAAACGCATTAAGAAGGAAAGAAATTCCACAAATTAACTTTTAACAAGGCACACCTGTTAATTGAAATGTATTCCAGGTGACTACCTCATGAAGCTGGTTGAGAAAATGCTAAGAGTGTGCAAAGCTGTCATCAAGGCAAAGGGTGGCTATTTGAAGAATCTCATAAAATATATTTTGATTTGTTTAACACTTTTTTGGTTACTACATGATTCCATATGTTTTATTTCATAGTTTTGATGTCTTCACTATTACTCTACAATGTAAAAAATAGTGAAAATAAAGAAACGCCCTTGAATGAGTAGGTGTGTCCAAACTTTTGACTGCTACTGTATATACAATACAGGAAAATCACGTTTTTGACTGCACTGGGCCTTTAAGACAATTTATGTTGGTGTTTCCTTTATTTTGACAGTTACATGTATATAACCATAAAGAAGCAGAATGATGAGAAACAAACCAGGGAGGACGACTATTAGGATTTTTGGAATCTCTAAAAAATGCTCATGTTCTTAGATTTTAAGGAAAATCTGAAGGTGGATTTGAAAAAACATTTTATTTTGTGTCTGTCATGTATACATTGTAATATTTGCATTGGAATTTGATTTCTGAACAGTGTGGAGTATATGGATACAATGTCCTCAACCATAAAGTCTAATTTCATATATTTTGATTTGACACATTTGGGAAAACCTGTAAGTCATTTCTGAACATTTAGTTGCCACGTAAAACATATTTGGCCTAACATTTGCACATGACTTGGATACAAAGGTAGTCAAGTGATGTAGTGGTACACTTGGTCTCCAAACACTAGCATGTTCACACAACATTAATTCAAGAAACCAATGCCATGATATGGAAACATACAGCATGCCCCAAGTATCTGTCCTCACAGCGTCCAACTTTTGACAATCCTCCCTTTGAATATATCTTAAAACAGATGATATCCATTGGTCTTTGTTCAGAACTATACACTAATTTCCCCGTCCAAAACTTGATGTCAGTTGAGCTAAATATCATTAGAAAAAATACAACGTTCCACACCAGACTGACTGTTCATTGACTGGTCACTAGCGGCAGGGGCGCAACTTTCACTGTCCCCCCAGTTTTATTATTGGAATGTGATACAAAACAAGGTCACAGTGTGCTTTAGGACAATGCGGACGCCTCCGAGCGGTCGGGGAGGCTGTTTGGAGTGTTTACCCCACTGGATTTTTCTTTTCTTTTTTTTCTTTTTTAAGTTATGTCTCCCCCACTTCTAAAACCAAAGTTGCACCCCTGACTAGCTGTATTATTATTTTGACATTTCACATGAAGGCCCAACACATTCAGACATGGACTTTTCCTTCGCTTCTTGAACAGAAAACCCCTCTGATCCATTAGATATCAAATTAATTCATCTTAACTTTTCCATGTACATTGTCTTAAAAGCCTTTATCATGTGATTTTGTATTTGTATGCCTGGTTCAACTATATTTATATTGTTCTTTCACAATTATGATGGGAGCTTATTTTCAAATGGGAGGCCGGAATGGGCAAGGCCTATAGAAACTGAAAATATATTATATTGTTGTTGGAAACCTCACTTCATAGTAAGTTTACGGATGTTGGAATCTCTAATATTCAATCAATGGGCAGAGTTACAAATCTAATGAAATTGTATTTGTTACATGCGCCAAATACAACAGGTGTAGACCTTACAGTGAAATGCTTACTTACAAGCACTTAACCAACAATGCAGTTTTTAAAGGGAGGATGGGTTGATTTATGTAGGTCTTTTAGGCTGCAGCATCAGCTCTTTAGCACTATTCAGTTGTAAATTGTAGTGCATCTGAAGAAAATGTAGGTAAAACTTACTTGACATCTCTGTTCTAAGTCTCCAGAAGAGAGATGCCTCTTCATAATAATGGTGATATTAGGCCTATCAAATATAAGCATAAATATTTAATAAACAGTCTTGTCATCTGACACAAACTCCTCTACAGGTAAGCTAGTAAATTCCCAGCTAATCATGACTGTGTCAACTCATTTTTCATAAACTACAGTCAGATTTTATGACTTCATATTATATCTGTTATATCATGCCCATAACAATGTATCATATTTCAGAGGTGTCAAGGGAAACCTACGGCCAAAATGTGCATATGGCTCACATGGCATCCACAGTTTGAATTCCTTTCAATAGCACCATTAGTTCTAGATGTTATTCCTTTCGTCTCAGATGAATAAACAATAAAGTTGGAGTGGTTATATCCTGTTTCTCCTTTGTCTTTGTCTATGGTAGACTGATAATCCGTCTACTGATTTACATTATTTAATCTAGGGCCTGGATTAAATCCGATCGCGCTTTGTTTTCTATGAACCTTTTAAATCTAATGTTCCCGCATTCAGGGAGACCGCATTCAAGGTAAAACGTTGCATATATTGGCTCAATCTGAAATTACCTTTACATGACAAGCATGCTATATCGTGGATCTACTGCTGATCGGATTGAATCCCGGCCCTAGGATGCAGTTCAATTGAGGATGTAAACCTGGCTGTCTGAGATGTCAATGATATCCTTGAAATACCCTTTGGTACAGGGCATGCACAGTTTTTGATTTGTGCTGACCCTGTGTGTGGATTGATGATCCTTTTCGAAATGTCTCTTGATAAGGTCATTCATCTGATGCCAAAAATAGCTGTCATACTCCAGACCAGAACAATTTAATTACTTACATTGGGCATGTACAAATCATGTATTTGTAGATGCCTAATTATTTTTTTTGCAAGATTATTTGAAACATTTGTTGCGCAATAATGGTGGCTGCGTTCCAAGCTGCCTATATTGTAGGCTAGTCCCTTTACGCAGAATGTAAAATCTTATTGAGCCATCCCCGTCAAACACTAAACCCACATTTGTGGAGTTCTGGGACCAATCAGATGTATCAGATTTCTTCAAACGCAAGTAGAGTTTAACTTGGCAGGAAACACATAATAACCTGCGCAGCACGACTTTATTGCAGGCAGTCTGGAACGTGGCCGGTGATATAACAACATAACCACGTGTGTACGAAACCGGAAGCTGTAGCTGCCGCTTTTTGCCAGACCAGATGCATTGTGGGAGCCGGTTGTGTAAACCAAAAATGTCAGCCTCGCGTTGCAATAGTTTTGGACAGACCGCCTGGCATGTTTTGCGGGTTCCGAGAGCCAAAACCAGCCTAGCAGTTGCACTATCTAAACTCCCGTCGAGGTACAGTTGCAGGGCATATAGCAGAGGTGGCACCACGTTAGGATCCAAACTCATCTCCACACTCCCCTTGCGCGCAACCAACAGGCGCTTCTTGGGGTACGCTTTTTTGTTCGGAGGGGGAGTCGGCTTGTATCAAACCATCAAATTATCATTTCAACAGCATTTAGCAGAGGATGAATTGTCATATGTAAGGATTTCCACCATTTATGCCTTTCTGCTTCATACTTATATCTCTTCAATGTCACGTCATTCATTGTTTATGGCTATGTATCTGTCGCTCTCTCTCTGTAACTGTCTTCAGTTTTTCCATTGATGTCCACAAAACAACTTGATGATGTAGTAGCACTATACTTTTGAAAGTATGTCTCATGTTTTGCTGCAACGGATTAGAAATAAGGATATGGGGACAACCACTGTGTGCAATCAGATATTTACCCAAAGCTCCCCAATCTCCAATAGGGCATCCCCACAAACCTGGGCTCTGACCTGACGTTTGCCACCGACTTGAAGTTTACCTTATACCAGTACAAGACCTGTCCATACTGCAGCAAAGTGCGGGCATTCCTCGACTACTATGGTCTGCCATATAAGGTTGTGGAAGTCAACCCTATCATGCACACGGAGATCAAATGGTCGTCGGAGTACCAAAAGGTGCCAATTCTTATGGTGGAGGGGAAAGAAATTGTGGTAAGCAGAGTAGTTTCAAACTTTAAGAAAAATAATATTTTCTAAGTATTTTAAGCAAATACTATATTTTTTGAATTTAGTTTAATACCACCATCTCCCTCTTTAATTGCTTGTCTAACAGCAACTGAACAACTCATCTGTCATAATCAGTGCAATGAAGACATGCATGATTGACAAGTAAGTAAATAATGTAATTTCAAAGAAAGCAGAATGGCGTATCGCATTTCAACCCTTCAGTATCACTTATTTCTATACCTCTGTTCTCTTTGACTTTGCAGAGAAAGAACGATATCAGAGGTTGTTCAATACTTTCCGAGACTCCCGTCTACCAATGCCTGGGGGAATGAAGTTCTGGAGTACACTAACAAATACTGGGTGATGTTGAATGAGATTAAGATCACAGAGGTGTACACATCCAAAAATGCCAGAAAGTAAGTTAGCTCTATGTTGTATTGATCTAAGAATTTGATTGTGTCGTGATTTGTTCAATGTTTTCTACATGCACTAGAGTACATCTGAAAAGTGATAGGTATAAGTAATATGGTTGAAAAATGTCACCTTTCACAGGGTAAGGTGGAGCTACCCACCATATTGATTCCAGTTCTTTCAGATCTACGTCAATTCCTATGGGGTAGGGGCTAGAGGTTGTTTTTGGACTGGGCAAATCTCTCTAATTTTCCAGGGAGGAGGTACGGTGGCGTCAATGGGCCGATGACTGGCTAGCGAATCGGATAAATCCCAATGTGTACAGGACTCCCGCTGAGGCCTTGGCTACCTATGACCACATAGTGCGTGAGGGCAACTTTGGTTCTGTTCCTTTTGCCAAGTATGGAGGGGCCTTCTATATGTTCTGGGCCTCCAAGGTCCTGAAAATCTGGTGAGTTTTGTCAATCATTGCAAATTACTACAGTGGGGAGAACAAGTATTTGATACACTGCCGATTTTGCAGGTTTTCCTACTTACAAAGCATGTAGAGGTCTGTAATTTTTATCATAGGTACACTTCAACTGTGAGAGACGGAATCTAAAACAAAAATCCAGAAAATCACATTGTAGGATTTTTAAGTAATTGATTTGCATTTTATTGCATGACATAAGTATTTGATCACCTACCAACCAGTAAGAATTCCGGCTCTCACAGACCTGTTAGTTTTTCTTTAAGAAGCCCTCCTGTTCTCCACTCATTACCAGTATTAACTGCACCTGTTTGAACTCGTTACCAATATAAAAGACACCTGTCCACACACTCAATCAAACAGACTCCAACCTCTCCACAATGGCCAAGACCAGAGAGCTGTGTAAGGACATCAGGGATAAAATTGTAGACCTGCACAAGGCTGGGATGGGCTACAGGACAATAGGCAAGCAGCTTGGTGAGAAGGCAACAACTGTTGGCGCAATTATTAGAAAATGGAAGAAGTTCAAGATGACGGTCAATCACCCTCGGTCTGTGGCTCCATGCAAGATCTCACCTTGTGGGGCATCAATGATCATGAGGAAGGTGAGGGATCAGCCCAGAACTACACGGCAGGACCTGGTCAATGACCTGAAGAGAGCTGGGACCACAGTCTCAAAGAAAACCATTAGGAACACACTACGCCGTCATGGATTAAAATTCTGCGGCGCACCCAAGGTCCCCCTGCTCAAGCCAGCGCATGTCCAGGCCTGTCTGAAGTTTGCCAATGACCATCTGGATGATCCAGAGGAGGAATAGGAGAAGGTCATGTGGTCTGATGAGACAAAAATAGAGCTTTTTGGTCTAAACTCCACTCGCCGTGTTTGGAGGAAGAAGAAGGATGAGTACAACCCCAAGAACACCATCCCAACCGTGAAGCATGGAGGTGGAAACATCATTCCTTGGGGATGCTTTTCTGCAAAGGGGACAGGACGACTGCACCTTATTGAGGGGAGGATGGATGGGGCCATGTATCGTGAGATCTTGGCCAACAACCTCCTTCCCTCAGTAAGAGCATTGAAGATGGGTCGTGGCTGGGTCTTCCAGCATGACAACGACCCGAAACACACAGCCAGGGCAACTAAGGAGTGGCTCCGTAAGAAGCATCTCAAGGTCCTGGAGTGGCCTAGCCAGTCTCCAGACCTGAACCCAATAGAAAATCTTTGGAGTGAGCTGAAAGTCCGTATTGCCCAGCGACAGCCCCGAAACCTGAAGGATCTGGAGAAGGTCTGTATGGAGGAGTAGGCCAAAATCCCTGCTGCAGTGTGTGCAAACCTGGTCAAGACCTACAGGAAACGTATGATCTCTGTAATTGCAAACAAAGGTTTCTGTACCAAATATTAAGTTCTGCTTTTCTGATGTATCAAATACTTATGTCATGCAATAAAATGCAAATTAATTACTTAAAAATCATACAATGTGATTTTCTAGATTTTTGTTTTAGATTCCGTCTCTCACAGTTGAAGTGTACCTATGAAAAAAATTACAGACCTCTACATGCTTTGTAAGTAGGAAAACCTGCAAAATTGGCAGTGTATCAAATACTTGTTCTCCCCACTGTATATTTTAAATGGAATGTTTTCAAGTTCATTCTCTTGCTGGTCAATATCAATCAATTCAATCAATTTTATTTTATATAGCCCTTCTTACATCAGCTAATATCTCGAAGTGCTGTACAGAAACCCAGCCTAAAACCCCAAACAGCTAGTAATGCAGGTGTAGAAGCACGGTGGCTAGGAAAAACTCCCTAGAAAGGCGAAAACCTAGGAAGAAACCTAGAGAGGAACCAGGCTATGAGGGGTGGCCAGTCCTCTTCTGGCTGTGCCGGGTGGAGATTATAACAGAACCATGCCAAGATGTTCAAAAATGTTCATAAGTGACAAGCATGGTCAAATAATAATCAGGAATAAATCTCAGTTGGCTTTTCATAGCCGATCATTAAGAGTTGAAAACAGCAGGTCTGGGACAGGTAGGGGTTCCATAACCGCAGGCAGAACAGTTGAAACTGGAATAGCAGCAAGGACTGGGGACAGCAAGGAGTCACCACGGCCGGTAGTCCCGACGTATGGTCCTAGGGCTCAGGTCTCTCAGTTGGCTTTTCATAGCCGATCATTAAGAGTTGAAAACAGCAGGTCTGGGACAGGTAGGGGTTTCGTAGCCGCAGGCAGAACAGTTGAAACTGGAATAGCAGCAAGGCCAGGCGGACTGGGGACAGCAAGGTGTCATCATGCCCGGTAGTCCTGACGTATGGTCCTAGGGCTCAGGTTCTCAGAGAGAAAGAGAGAACGAGAGAATTAGAGAGAGCATACTTAAATTCACACAGGACACTGGATAAGACAGGAGAAGTACTCCAGGTATAACCAACTAACCCCAGCCCCCCGACACATAAACTACTGCAGCATAAATACTGGAGGCTGAGACAGGAGCGGTCCGGAGACACTGTGGCCCCATCCGAAGAAACCCCCGGACAGGGCCAAACAGGAAGGATATAACCCCACCCACTCCGCCAAAGCACAGCCCCCGCACCACTAGAGGGATATCCCCAACCACCAACTTACAATCCTGAGACAAGGCCGAGTATAGCCCACAGAGGTCTCCACCACAGCACAAACCAAGGGGGGGGCGCCAACCCAGACAGAATATGAGTTTGTGCCTGATCGTTCCCCTCTGTTCCTGCCCCCACATAGGTACAAGTTACAGGATGATGTGAGGGAAGATTTGTACATGGCTGTGAATGAGTGGATAACAGCTATTGGGAGGAAGAGGAAATTCATGGGTGGTGACAAACCCAATCTCGCTGATCTGGTAAGATTATCTGGGTTGTTGTGACAGTTTAAAAGGCAATTCCATTTAAATTGGGTACAGTTTACATTGACATGTTACATTGAATACACATGTTGACAAGAGACCTGAATTCAATAATAATAATACATTTAATATTATGCGCTTTTCAAGACACCCAACTCTTGACTTCATTATTTGACAGTCATTATTTCCACTGCTGATAATCTCTTTCTTCCTGAAGGCTGTGTATGGAGTCCTCCGATCCATGGAAGACCTGGAGGCCTTTTACGACGTGATGGAGAACACAAAGGTGAAGAAGTGGTATCTGGCCACAGAGAAACAAGTGAGGGAGCATGGTGGTCGGAACCTATGTAGAAAACCACCACAGAACTAGCATGGCATAACTGAGTTCTAGGCTGCTGATTCAGGCTACCACTGCACACAGGAAATCTGGATGCAACGGTTCTCTACCAGTCAGCACACTCTCGTAACATGTTACAGGTGACATAGTTTTATATCTGAACGAACGGACAGTCTACCATGCGTTTCATGTTCTCTGTACAATCAAAGCCTCTTTCAAATATGTTTATGGATGCATTCTTAGTTTCCCAGAGAAAAGGTAGCTCAGTACAGTCATTTTATGTATGTATTAAAATAAATGTGTGTATATATGACTATTTAACAGTTAATGTATTGCAGAAATAGACTGTTATTCACTCTTTGTGAACCTGTTAAGTAAACCACTAAGCATTTATTTAATTATTTTATCCGTTTGCATACCTGCAATTTCACTCGTTTTATTTTCCCCTGGCACCTGCTGGTGTTGTTTTACCCTGGCACTTCATTGGCCAGAGATTTCATACACCTAGTTACTCAGGTATAATTCAAATCTCTGATTAAAGTGTGGCTTTACAACGATAGAAGAGTTGATTACAGCACATACAGTGTGGGACAAGGCTTGGTAGAAGTTGCGCCTAACCACTGTTAAAGGGGCAGATTTATCCTCCCTCTAGAATTGTGGATAGAGCAATCTGATCCTAGATCTGTTGCACAGAAGGCTGCTGAGGGGAGGACGTCTCATAATAATGGCTGAAATGGAGCAAATGGAATGGCGTCAAACACATGGAAACCATGTGTTTGATGTATTTGATACCATTCTACTCATTCCGCTCCAGTCATTACCACAAGCCAGTCCTCCCCAATTATGGTGCCACCAACCTCCTGTGCTCTTTAACCAAGTGCTATTATTCCTGCTATTTATTATTATGGCCAGCGGTGGGGGGTGATAGTTGGTGGACCTTTTCTCTTATGGATAAAACTGGACAAATTAAGAAAAAGGCTATTTAAAGCACGCTACTGTAGCTTAAGTGCGGCTACATGGTGCGGATATAAAAACAGGAAGTAACCTATGCTGAAATGGATAACATCTTCTACCTCCATGTTGTCTATTGGATCCTGATCATGTCTTCTTCCAATACTGGTTTTTATTCAGGTTAGACACAAAATGTTGCATATCAGATGTACACAAACAGTAGCATAATTATCTGGTTAACTCTACTGAGATTATGATTGTGAAGAATTGGGTAGATCAAGGCCCTTTATAACAAGGTATTTATCTGAAACAACCAACATGGCCTAAGTATTGGGACCATCTCATGTCATAGAAATATTCTTAAAAGGGTGCTAATAAAGCATGTAAATTGTACTTAATAACATGAAGATTGGAGAATAAGCAGAATGTTAAAAAAAATACCAATAAATTACGAAATTTGTAAACCCTATGTCTTTTGTGTTCATTACCTTCATCAAACCCTTATACTTTTTGTTTTTAACATTTTCTTGCTTGGTTTTTGCATATGAAGTAGACCCCAAAAAGTTTATTTTGAGGACAACAAAATAGCCCACACGAGTCCACTTCCCCTTGCTTTATCACTGACATGGTGGGAGGGGATGTTAGACTGCATTTACACAGGCAGCCCAATTCTGATCTTATTTCCACTAATTGGTCTTTTGACCAATCAAATCATTTCACATCAGATCTTTTTCAGAGTTGATCTGATTGGTCAAAAGACCAATTAGTAAAAAAAGATCAGAATTGGGCTGCCTGTGAAAACGCAGCCTTATATGTTAGTTTCCTATGGAGAAAAAAACACAACAGCTACAAATATATGCTTACCAATGATATACCTCTTCTTGATGGTCATTACTATGGCTGTGTTTACACAGGCAGTCCAATTCATATATTATTTCCATCAGAAATGGGCTGCCTGTGTAAACGCAGCCATAGCAACTCACACTGACCACGTTTACATGTGCACAGTGTTCCGGATAGTAGCTCATATCCTTAAGGTCTTATTCAGGATAAGCTGTGTACATGCACCTTTGATATCCCGTTCACGAATATCCCTGTATCCATGGATAAACAGAATATTCCTAATTGAAGTTAATATAGGTTAAATGGAATAGTAACTGAAATCTGGAAACTGACTGTAGGCCTATAACCTAATATAATATTGTAGCCTAATATAATATTAACTCCTGCAGAATTATGTATTTCTTGCAGTAAAATTATACAATACATTTTTATTTTGTCGTGGGAACAGGAGTGGAGAAATATTATTTATTTATTTCAGCATCTTTTGAGAAAATTCGAATGTGCATGTAAGGTGTTATCTTTGACACTGTTATGCAAGCAGACCAGTGGCGGTCAGTGCTGTTTAACCCTCCCGTTGTCCTAGGGTCAAAATGACCCGCCACTGTGTTGAACCAACTTTATTTAATTTTTATATTTTGGGGATCATTTATGAGAAGGAGGCAGTGAGACTTTAAAGAAAGTATCACTGCCTCCTCACAAATGATCCAAAAAATATAAAAATTAAATAAAGTTGGTTCAACACAGTGGCGGGTCATTTTGACCCTAGGACAATGGGAGGGTTAAGATGAGGGAGGACCTTTTTTTTTTTTTTTTTTTTTACAGCATATTGGATGACTGTCTTTTATATTCCAATCACCCAGTTCAATGTAACAGCAATAGGTTTCGGCTACAACATGATACTCTAATTTTCCCTATACCCATCATGAGGTTGCTACAACCTAGCCTATGAATGAAAGTTTACAACGTAGGTGCACACAGGTCGAGAGAAAAATATATCAGTACGTCACATCAATACACGACATCCCCCCTTTACATGGATATTAACTTTAATGTCAACCTGACATACAAAACAACACTCATTATTTACCTGTATAGCAACCTTTCTGTTCAATGTCTTATTTCTGTTCCCCTAATGGACTTTCCATTTTAAGCTTACTTCTAAGCAAAACAAAACAAATGTTTCATTTTCTTACTGTAACAAAACATTATGCACCTTTTTCACAACATAAATCAAACATTCAGAGTCTTCGCATTAGTCCTTTGTACTTGTCATTTTTCAGTTTATACCGGTTTGCTTTACCACTTACAGTACAGGATAATTATTCAATGACAAAGTCTATTAACTTCTGTGGCAGTTTAATTTGTCTGTGAAGTCTGAGTCTTTGTAGTGCTCCCTCACAGATAGTCTCTGGTTTCGACACTGTGTAATGTCTTAGAGGAGAACTCTGTTCCACAGTCTCTTTCAGTTGTGTAGTGTCCTTTGGTTGTGGATCTGGCTCCTCAATTGTATACCTCTTCACAAATGTTGTATTCCTGGAATACCTGGCTCCGAAAGTATTCACCCCCCTTGGCATTTTTCCTATTGTCGTATCTGATGAGTGGTGGCCATTATTGCTGTCAACAAAGAGTCCGCTTATGCTGCATCGTATTAGAGGCTTTTATTAAAATCACGAGGTTACAGCATAAGTACAGACCCGCGGTGTCCGGAGAACGGCTCCTCAGATTGCCATGGCCGTTCTGACGTCTTC